CCGAGCCCGGCGCGGGCGGCCGGGGCGCTGGCCCGGCCCTGCGACTGAGAGGCCGCCCGGCGACGCGGATGCGGAGCCTGCTCGCCCAAGATCAAAGCCACCGGTGCTCTCTTTGTGTCCGCTCGGGATTCGCCTCCCTGGGGCTGCCCATGGAAACCTAAACTGCTGGAACCCGAGACAGAGAACCCCTCTTTGACTTCTTGCCCTTTTTTTGGGGGGGGGGGAGGGTGGCCACTCCGAACTGGATTTACCGTTCTTGGCCCCTCTAAGCCCCCCCGTGCGGGGGGCGTCTGTGATCACTCTGGCGGTTGGAGGTCGGGGAGCGGCCCGGGCTCTGGCCATGTTCTCGGATGAAGATTTCTGGATCGCCCTGTGAAGAGGTGAGTGAAGTCCGCCGGCCAGGGCCCAGAAGGGGTTGGACTGGGGGCATAGCCAGATGGACTATCTTGGCCGGAGCTGGCCTTTAGGTTGGAGAAAGGGGTGCCAGGGCAGAGGAGGGCTCCTTTGGCAGGGTCTGTCAAGGGAACCTGAGCCAGTTGCCTCGACAGAACTGAGGCCTTGGTGTCTTGGGGTGTGTACCCCTTTAAAGACGGGGTGGCCGGCTTGGGGGGGGGGCCTCAAGGAACCAGGGGAGTTGGGAACCTGGCCAGATCCTCTCTCCGCCTGTTTATTTTTTGTGTTGGGGGGAGCTCTGCTAAACTAGGACCCAAGCCCTGATGCCAACACCAATCCCAGGTGGCCGCTTCTCTCTCAGGGCTCCTTGTGGGCCTTGGGAACGGAGCAACTTGGGGTGGGGGTGGTAAGGTGCCACTGCTCAGTCAGACTTGCTGCCAGCCTGGACTTTAAGGTTGTTTTGACCATCCCTGGCAAAAAAGACTTTGGGAAACTCAAGAAACCCAAGATCTTCAACCAGGCCTTATTTCAGGGTGCAAAGGGGAGAGTGAGGAAATTGACCAGTGAGATGAAAGGGCTGACCAAGGCAAGAAGGAGGTGGATTCCGGGGGGGCAGCTCTGGTCTGGTTCAACTTTGAACCACCCCTGTCTGGGCAGAGTGACCCTCCTGAGGCCTGGTGCTGTCTTAGCCAGCTTTGCCTCCCCTCTTCGGATGGACATAATCGCTAGGGGATTATAGAGGACACCGTTGAGATTTGCTTCCTTGAATGTGGGCTACAAAAATGGCTTTTGTCTCCCGCTTTTTCGGGCTTGGTGGGAGAGCTGGTTGCCATAAGTCCCTGGCCAATCCTGTAGGCCCCTCCCAGACCTCTCCAACCCTTTTCCAACAGGGAATGTTAACTGGCCCTCTGGTCCTGTCCCAGCCCTGCAGATTAGGGTGGCCATTACCTCTCTGGAGGAGAAGTGATCTGATTAGAGTCGTTTCTCCTGAAGCCCATATTTCCAGCCCTGGTGGGAGGTGCTAGGGAGAAGGGGTGTGTATGTGAGTGCATGGAGGGTTCAGGATGGACCTCATTCCTCTGGTCCCTGGACTGGGACAGCCCCTCTCACAGCTGTCATGCTGCCCAGCAGGCGTTTGACTGGTGTGTTTTTGCGCCCTCCTCCACCCCTTCCAACATATAGCTAGATCTCTTTGCACCTGGTTGGAAAGGAGAAAATAGGGGGTTTGCCCTGGAAAGCTATCTGGGTTGGTTGCCCCTGAGGTTAGAGGCGGCACCGGGTGATGGGTGATGGAGTGGAGCTAGCTGTTACCGTGCTCTCTGTCCCTGCCTCTCCGGTGAGCCCCTCCTGTTGTCTCTCCAAAGAGTTTCCTAGGAGGGACCGCTCATTGTTAGCTGTGACTTAGCCCAGGGAACCCAGGAGTGGTCTGGAGGGTCTGCAGGGCCAGTGTGGCCATTTGTTTTCTTCCTGGAGGGCTGACCCAAAGTGGGGGTGGGGAGAGGTATGGGTTGATTCTCAGGCTGGGAACCAGGAAGTCCTGAGTCCTTACAGAAGAGCTGTTCACTCAAGGGCCTGCTTCAGCCTCTCACCTCTCCCAGCCTCCATTTCCCCTTTGCTGGGAAAACAGAATGAAAGCTATTAGTCTGGGGTGGAGGCAGGGAAGAGAGTGGATTGGGATGAATTCCTGCTTTTCTCCTTGCTGCTTGGGACCTCTCAGGCCTAGGACTACAGGAGCCAGAAGTTTTACTCCCGAGATCTCTAGTTCCCCAAAGGAAGCCTGGCCAGGCATTAGCCCAGTTTAGTTCCAGGGGAAACTAAACTTGGTGTATATTTGTGGTTTCTGGCTGTGAATGAGGGGACACGGGGACCTGTGCTCTTTATTTGTTTAGCTCTCCCGGGGGCCTCATAACTGGGACTGAGCACTGGGGGGGGGGGGGCAGGTGCCAGGTGTGCAGGGACAGGGAAGTAAGGATCAGGCTTCTTGGAGGTACCTTTCTGTTCTTTTTGGAGAAGCTTGGAGATTGCTTTACCTTTGGCTTCTTGATCTCTCATCTCCTCCGACTTGGAAGGTGTTGGTGCTTTCTCTTCCCAGGCTGGATGGAGGTGGGTTCTGGCCTTCCCCAGGCAGTACCAGCCTCACTTGCTGGATAGGCTGTGCCTTGGGGGAGGAACAGGAACTTGTTCCTTTGGCCTTGTGTGCTGTGCAGAGTCCTCCCACCCACTCTATTATCACTGTTGCTTTTTATTTCTTGCTGTTTGTGACTCCTTTAGCCTCAGCTTTGCAGAGCAGGTGGGAGATCTTTGGGGAAATGTAGTGGCAGTATACAGTAAGATGCACATGTGTCAGAAACTTTGAAGTCTCTGGGGTGTGGTCAGGCCTTGAATGAGTGACTAGGAAGAAGGTCCTGTCTGTCTCCAGACCGCCTAACCCCTGCTTCCCGCAGATGGCTTCTGAGGGCTTCTCAAAGTTCCAGAGCAGCTTTCTGAGCCCTGGTAACCTCCCTGCTTTCTTTTCAAGTGGGGTTATGTGGCAGGTTTGGGACAGAGTGGATCTGAGAATGGAGGTAACAGGTATCAGGTGATACTTTTCCACCTAGTAGATTCTGATTGTGTGTGTTGGGGTGGGGAGTAGAATGGTTTCCTCTCTTAGGCCATGTCATAGAAGGCACATTACCAGTCTCTGGAAAGGAGCGTGAGTGCTTCTTTCCACTCACACTGGGTAGGAAGAAGGAGTAATACTGTGGTTCTCAGTTAATTGATTCACCAATCTTAGGCACTTTTGAGGGTTCCCCATGTCTCATCTGCTCCTGCCACTCATTCCCAAGTGGCTGATTGAGGTATTTGGGTTTGTCCTTACTAAAGTTGGTGTGGTACCTCTGGTTAAACAAGATAGAAAAAGGTAAGATAAATTCCTCAAACTTCTACTTCGGGTTTTGTCTTAGAGAGCTCCCCACCCCCAGCCCCTCTGTAGGAATTCTATACTTTCTTTGCCTAAGCTCCTGCCTTTTCTTACTGAGAGTTTCTGGCACCTATGCCTTTCTCCCTTCTATCAGATTTCTTTCCTCTTCCTCGCCTCTGTAATTCTTCTTATTCTTTACTTCTGTCTTTTTTTGTACTGTGCTTAGTTCCCCCGCAGGTTTAGGAAAATACACCCAAAGGTTTAACTTTAGTGTGTTTTCATTTGAGTCTGGTATAGGCAGGCATATCTTTGAAGAGGGGACCGTTACCACCCCCCACCCCCCAGAGTGTGTGGAAACCTTGTCTGACAGAAGAGGAAGGAAGCTCCTCTGCTCTGCTGTGTCCTGCCCTGTTTAGAACTCTTCCGAGTGGCTGTATGCTTCCTGAGACTACAACTCCCAGCATGCTTAGCCTCAGGCCTGGCTACACATGCTCAGTAACTCTTAGGGCTCCCTTCTGTTAACTACTGAGACATCTGAGGAAGAAGGGCAGTTGGCGTTGCTAAGGGCAACATTTAAGGCCTTTATACTGGGTGGAGGTCAGTCATGTTGGGCCAGTGGGTGGACTTGAGCTGGATTTGGATAGGCCATGGGCGAATGTTGGGGAGTTTCTCCTGTCGTGATGGAAATATCCTGATTGAACCCAGTGAAAGTAGAAGAGATCCACCTGTAGATGGGCTTTAGTTCTAATAATGTGTTTTATGTCCTGCAAGACCCTGGACTCTGTTTTTGGGAGGGGAGTTTGGGTGGCACTGATAGCACTGCTGGGATAGTGGCTTGATGTGAGGCTTGTGAAACGCCGGGCGTGCGGGACCTACCAGAAGCCGAGAACTCAAGAGATGAGGCAAAGGGTGATACTGACAGAGATTGGATGTGCCTCTAGTTGGGTGCTAGTACCCAGAGAATTCTTATACTGGAGGGTGGCAGTGGTCCCCTGAGAATCCGGACTGGGAGGAGAGGGTATGGTGTTTATGTGGGGAGGCAGTGAGGTAAGAGGGGTAATGATTGCTGTTCTGTGGTATTAGCATAGGAGTTTTCTGTAGGGTATATAGATGCCATTAGCTGCCTTTGTTCTAGGGTTATGGGAAAAGTACTTAGTGGGGAGACTCTCTAAACAGATACCTTTCGGCACTACAGGTCTCCCCGAGAGGGCCCTGCCCAGTCGGAGAGAGGGATGGACAGCCAGAAGCTGCCTGGTGAGGATAAAGATTCAGAACCGGCTGGTGAGTAGGGCGATTTGGGGATTTTTGCTGACAGCTCTCTCCTCTCCCCAGGCAGCCTTAGATTTCTGGTCCTGGCACAAGGAGAGGTGCTCAGTCTGTCTAGTGTATTGGTAATTGAGGGACTTTTGGGGCCAAAACTGAAGTGCCATCACTGGGCTCTGTCAGGGTTTTGGATGACAGCATGGGTCTAATGAGTGGGGCTAATATTAAGTTGAAGGTGACATGTGTTTCTCTATTCGTTCAGCTGATGGACCTGCAGCTTCCGAGGAGCCAGGCGCCACTGAGCCAGACCTTCCCAACCCACATGTCGGGGAGGTCTCCGTGCCCGGTTCTGGGGGTCTCAGGCTTCAGGAGCTTCCCCAGGACTGCAGGTAACTAGTTGGGTCACATAGGGCATGAAGGCACATGCTGTGTGAACCTGGGGCTTTCAAAAGGAGGAAGATTTAAGAGAATGAGTGTTTGGGAAGCATAGGTATGCCAAATCATGGGGTGGGCAGGGTGCCTGTGGGCAGGGGCCCTGGCATGGTGCTGATGTTTGTGTGTCCACAGTGGGGTTCCCGCGCGGCGCTGTGCTCTCTGTAACTGTGGGGAGCCTAGTCTACATGGGCAGAGGGAGCTGCAGCGCTTCAAGTTGCCGTTTGACTGGCCCCAGTGTCCAGTGGTGTCCCCTGGGGGGAGCCCAGGACCTAATGAAGCAGTGCTACCCAGTGAGGACCTGTCACAGATTGGTTTCCCTGAGGGCCTGACACCTGCCCACCTAGGAGAACCTGGAGGTAAGTGAGGGGAGGTGGGCCGAGTTGAGCCATAAAGGGGGCCGAGGGTGGTCTTGAGTCAGTGATCATCTCTTTCGTTAAATCTTCTTTCCTGCCTCTTTTTACTTGTAAAGGGTCCTGCTGGGCTCACCATTGGTGTGCTGCGTGGTCGGCAGGTGTGTGGGGGCACGAGGGCCCAGAACTATGTGGTGTGGACAAGGCCATCTTCTCAGGGATCTCACAGGTGGGGCTGGCGCCAGGGATCGCGCAGGTGGAGGGCGGGCTCGTCGGGGCTGCTGGACCTCTGTGTTGGGCTCGAACGAGAAGGGCAGAGTGCCAGTGCCTGTCCTGCTGCTCTGGAGAGAGTCCGCGTCACTGAGGCTTTGTCTCCACCCTGGCAGCGCTGCTCCCACTGCACCAGGCTCGGTGCCTCTATCCCTTGCCGCTCGCCCGGATGTCCACGGCTTTACCACTTCCCCTGTGCAACTGCCAGCGGTTCCTTCTTGTCCATGAAAACACTGCAGCTGTTATGCCCGGAGCACAGTGAGGGGGCTGCACATCTGGGTGAGAAGTCCTGCTCTTTGGACAGAGAGCACTGCGGGGCCAAGTGTGTCTGGGGCGTTCCCACTGGGGCACTCGGGCGTGTGTAATGATACACTGTCAGTCCGCGCCACTGACAAAGGTGTGACATTTGTTGGCTTTGACTGTCTTGTTTACTATGGTGTCTGCAGTGCCTAGAATCGTGCCTGGCATACCATGGGATGCCTGGTACGGAGACAGCACTGTGCCGAATCGCACCAGGATTCTGTAACTCAGCTGTGCTCTGTCCCTTCCCACTGCAGAGGAGGCTCGTTGTGCAGTTTGTGAGGGGCCAGGGGAATTGTGTGATCTGTTCTTCTGTACCAGCTGTGGGCATCACTATCATGGGGCCTGCCTGGACACTGCCTTGACGGCCCGAAAGCGTGCTGGCTGGCAGTGCCCTGAGTGCAAAGTGTGCCAAGCTTGCAGGTAACATGGAAGGGCAGGAGGGAAGCCTTAGGCAACACAGGGTTAGGGTTGAAAGTGAGGGCAGACACGAGCCTGTTCTGCGCCCTGTGCCCCTGCAGGAAACCTGGGAATGACTCTAAGATGCTGGTCTGTGAGACATGTGACAAAGGGTACCATACCTTCTGCCTAAAGCCACCTATGGAGGAATTGCCTGCTCACTCTTGGAAGTGCAAGGTGAGTGTCCCCGATGGTACATAACCCTGGTTTTGCCCCCGTCATAGTCTGAGTTTATTCCGTGGGACGAGTCCTGTGCTCTCGTCCAGCCCTGCTGTCTGACCAGTGCCCGTTTGCCCACTCCTCTCCCCAGGCATGCCGGGTGTGCCGAGCCTGTGGAGCGGGCGCGGCGGAGCTGAGTCCCAGCTCTGAGTGGTTTGAAAATTACTCGCTCTGTCACCGCTGTCACAAAGCCCAGGGAGGTCACCCTATCAGTTCTGTTGCTGAGCAGCATCCCCCTGTCTGTCACAGGTAGGTGGTGTGAACTGGAAGAGATTGGGATGGGGAGTAGGAAGTGTGTAGGTCGGTAGGCGCCATCTTTAATCAGTTGGACTTCTAGCAGAGAGCCCTAGGCGGGCAGTACAATCCATAGCAATCGTGCCTCGCCCCCGTGTGCTCTCTAGGAGTTGTTAGCTGATGAGAGCCACGGTGCCTGCTCCCCTGTACCCTCTGCAGATTCTCACCCCCAGAGCCTGGCGATACCCCCAGTGATGAGCCCGATGCTCTGTACGTTGCATGCCAAGGGCAGCCAAAGGGTGGGCACGTGACCTCTATGCAACCCAAGGAACCGGGGCCCCTGCAATGTGAAGCCAAACCACTAGGTGAGTAGGGTTCGAGGGTCCCCAAAGTAATTTCCGTCTATTCTGTGGCAAGGGACAGTTTCTGCTTTGCCCCAACCCTGTGCTTTCTGTGGACTGGAACCGAGCCAGGTAGGAGCATAGTGTGTTGTGTCTACAGGGAGAGCAGGGACCCAACTTGAGCCCCAGTTGGACACCCCCCTAAATGAGGAGATGCCACTGCTGCCCCCACAAGAGGAGTCGCCCCTCTCCCCACCACCTGAGGAATCACCCTCGTCCCCGCCGCCTGAGGCATCACGCCTGTCCCCACCGCCTGAGGAATCACCTCTTTCTCCACTGCCTGAGGAATCTCCTCTGTCTCCCCCACCTGAGTCATCACCTTTTTTTCCACTGGAGGAGTCACCCTTCTCTCCACCAGAGGCGTCGCCCCCACCACCCCCACTTGAGACACCTCTGTCCCCACCACCTGAGGCATCACCCTTGTCTCCACCAGTTGAGGAGTCTCCCCTGTCCCCTCCGCCAGAGGAATTGCCCACTTCCCCACCACCTGAGGCATCGCGCTTATCTCCACCACCTGAGGAGTCACCCATGTCCCCTCCACCTGAGGAGTCACCCATGTCTCCACCACCTGAGGCATCGCGTCTGTTCCCACCATTTGAAGAATCCCCTCTGTCTCCTCCCCCTGAGGAATCGCCTCTCTCCCCTCCACCCGAGGCATCACGCCTTTCCCCACCACCTGAGGACTCACCCATGTCCCCACCACCTGAAGATTCACCTATGTCTCCTCCTCCTGAGGTGTCACGCCTATCCCTCCTACCTGAGGTGTCACGCCTGTCTCCACCGCCTGAGGAATCTCCCCTGTCCCCACCACCTGAGGAGTCGCCTTCATCCCCTCCACCCGAGGCTTCACGCCTGTTCCCACCACCTGAGGACTCACCTACATCCCCACCACCTGAAGACTCACCTGCTTGCCCACTGCCAGACAGCTTACTTAGGTCCCTACCGCTGGAGGAGTTACCGTTGCCCAAGGAGCTGCAACTCTGTCCCCGGCCTGAGGAGCCACTCCTGTCCCCTGCCCCTGAGGAGCCACACCTGTCTTCTGCTCCTGAGGACCCTCACCTGTCTCCGGCCCCTGAGGAGCCTCACCTGTCTCCCGCCCCTGAGGAGCCTGACCGGTCTCCTGCCCCTGAGAAACCTCACCTGTCTCCCGCCCCCGAGGAGCCTCACTTGTCTCCTGCACCTGAGGAGCCTCACCTGTCTCCCACACCTGAGGAACCTCACCTGTCCCCCGCACCTGAGGAGCAACCTCTGGCCCTTACACCTGAGGCGCCACCTCTGGCCCTTACACCTGAAGAGCCGCACCTGTCCCCTACACCTGAGGAGCCACCTCTGTCCCCTACACCTGAGAAGCTGCATCTCTATCCTGGATCTGTGGAGCCTCAGCTGTCCCCTTTACCTGAGACGTCATGTCTTTCCCCTTTACCTGAGGAGACACACCTGCCCCTTTTACCTGAGGAGCCTCAACTGTCCCCTTCACCTGAGGAGCCACGCCTGTCCCCCCAGCCTGAGCAGCCGTGCCTGTCCCCCCAGCCTGAGGAGCCGTGCTTGTCCCCCCAGTCTGAAGAGCCGCGTCTGTCCCCCCAGTCTGAGGAGCCGCGTCTGTCCCCCCAGTCTGAGGAGCCGCGTCTGTCCCCCCAGTCTGAGGAGCCGCGTCTGTCCCCCAGGCCTGAGGAAATGCACCTGACCCCTCCACCTGAGGAGCCAGGTCTCTGCTCTGCACCTGAGGAATTGTCCGTGTTCCTCCCTTCTGGGGAGCCACCTTTATCTCCCTTGCTTGGAGAGCCAGCCCTGTCTGAGCCTGGGAAACCACCTCTGACCCCTCTACCAGAACAACTGCCATTGTCCCCCTCTGAGGAGCCATCTTTGTCGCCTCAACTGATGCCATCAGGTAGGGTGATGCTCATACCCCCCTCTCTGAAACAGACTTAGCCCTTAATGGCACATGTAATCTAAGAGCCTCCTTTCCTCTTTCTCCAGATCCTCTTCCTCCTCCGCTCTCACCCATTATCACAGCTGTGGCCCCACCAGCCCTGTCTCCTTTGAGGGAGTTGGATTACCCCTTTGGTGCCAAAGGGGACAGTGACCCTGAGTCGCCGTTGACTGCCCCCATCCTAGAGACGCCCATCAGCCCTCCGCCGGAAGCTAACTGCACTGACCCTGAACCTGTACCCCCAATGATCCTGCCCCCATCTCCAGGTTCCCCGATGGGGCTGGCTTCTCCCCTTCTGATGGTGCCTCTCCCTGCTCAGTGTTCTCCACTCCTCCAGCATTCGTCACCTCCCCAGAGCTCCCCTCCTCCCCAGTGCTCGCCTCCTGCTCTGCCACTGTCCACTCCCTCCCCACTGAGTCCTGCGAAGAAGGTTGCGGAGGTCTCGGGTGATGCTGAGCTTCTCGAGATGGAGCCCGAGAAAGCCATGGAACCCGAGTGCCCAGCCCTGGAGCCCAGCCCTGCCAGTCCGCTCCCCTCCCCAACGGGGCACCTCTCCTGCCCTGCCCCCAGCCCTGCCCCGGCCCTGGATGACTTCTCTGGTCTCGGGGAAGACACTGCCCCTCTGGATGGGACTAACACTCCTAGTTCGCAGCCAGAGGCTGGCCAGACCCCCGGCAGCTTGACAAGTGAACTTAAGGGTTCCCCTGTGCTCCTGGATCCCGAGGAGCTGGCCCCTGTGACCCCTATGGAGGTCTATGGCCCAGAATGCAAACAGGCAGGGCAGGGCTCACCCTGTGAAGATCAAGAGGAGCCGCGTGCACCAGTGGCCCCCACCCCACCCACTCTCATCAAATCTGACATCGTTAATGAGATCTCCAATCTGAGCCAGGGGGATGCCAGTGCCAGTTTTCCTGGTTCAGAGCCCTTGCTGGGCTCTCCTGACCCTGAGGGAGGTGGCTCCCTGTCTATGGAGCTGGGGGTCTCCACAGACGTCAGTCCAGCCCGAGATGAGGGCTCCCTGCGGCTCTGTACCGACTCGTTGCCAGAGACTGATGACTCATTATTGTGTGACGCTGGGACAGCTGTTGGTGGAGGCAAAGCCGAGGGGGACAAAGGGAGGCGGCGCAGCTCCCCAGCTCGTTCCCGCATCAAACAGGTGAGGAGCTGACCAGCCACTGATGTGACCAGTGGCGTGCCGCTGTCGCAGGGGTAGCCCCTCGTCACTGCCACCTTCTGCCCTGGCCCGCTGGCGCCCAGGCTCTCAGAGAGCCTTCGGCCTGCCCACTTGTCTTACTGAGAGGACACTGCATAGAGCGGGAAGCGGTTTGCAGTTACTCAGTGACAGAAACTCGGACCGCTTAAGCCAGTATCTTTTCTCGTCGCCCGACGTCGCCTCTCTTGGGAGAGAGGGAGTGGCTTGGGGCCAGCGCCACAAACCCGCCGCCGCTCCGCCGCCTGGCCTGGGACTCCCGGGCTTTAGTGCCCACTGCCTTCCACTTGTCTGCTCTTCCCTCCACGCCTGTGCCCCAACGCAGGACCCCGCAGCTCCCCGGGGTCACCGTCCTCTTTCCTCACTCAGGGCCGCAGCAGCAGTTTCCCAGGAAGGCGCCGGCCGCGAGGGGGAGCACATGGAGGGCGAGGGCGAGGACGGGCCCGGCTCAAGTCAACTGCTTCTTCTGTTGAGACTCTGGTAGTAAGGAGAAGCCTCCCGGGCCCCACGCGCGCCAGCCGCCCCTTCCGAAGCTTAAACACCCCTTCGGCCCTGCCGGCCACTCCCTGCCCGCTCGCTTGCCTCCCTGCCAGCCGGGGCCTCTCTCGCTGTGCTGCTCTGTCCCCGTGGCCAGGGCCCTGAAGCCTGCCCCTGGCCTCACGGCTGGGTGTTCTGCCTCGTAGCCTTGCTTCTGCTCTTCATTTTAGCCGCGGGTGCACATCTCTTTCAAAACCAAAGAGGGAAGGCAACTGGTCAGGGCAGCTCTAACTGCCTCCCTCTCCACCACTCTCTGCCTGTCAGGTTGCTGATATCGATAGCTCTCCCAGCAAGGAGGAGGAAGATGACGACGACGACACCATGCAAAATACTGTGGTTCTCTTCTCGAACACAGACAAGTTTGTTCTCATGCAGGTACTGCACTTGACCGGTTCATTGCCATCCTCAGCAGACTGAATGTTGGCGTGTATGTGTATGGGCGTGTAGAGGGGAAAAGCAAGGACCTACCTCTGGGGTAACCAGCTAGTGAGGAAATCGTGTGTCAGGATCACATTCATTTGTCCATTCATCAACTTTCTCTTGAAATTCTCCTTTGAGCTTGGCACTGAGCTAGGAGCTAAGGATGTAACAGTGAGAAAAGCAGAAATGATCTTTGCCCTATTGGTATGTAGTCTCGGGAGCCAGTATGTTACAGAGAATCTTGTCACATTGTATCCTTTCATCCTGACAAGACCTTACCCATCTTACCGTCTTTTCACTTCTTACCTTAATCTGTGTCAGGCTGTATCACTGCACATTACCTGATCAGCAGGAGAGCAATGCATGGTAGGAAAGAACCGTGTCCTAAAGCTTGGGGTGGGCTTTGGACCCCTGGCTCCTCTCAGACTAGTGTGGAAGGCATTTGCTGGGACTGAGTGGGCTCAGGATGCTCCGTCGGACACTCGCGTTTCTGTGTTTCTCTAGGACATGTGTGTGGTGTGTGGCAGCTTCGGCCGGGGGGCGGAGGGCCATCTCCTGGCCTGTTCCCAGTGCTCCCAGTGCTATCACCCTTACTGTGTCAACAGCAAGGTGAGTTCAGGGCCCAGGGGCAGGTGGGGGGAGCAGGACTCATCTTTCACTCGGGTCCCTGTCCTGACCAGACGACCTCTTACAAGTGACTGGATCACGGAAGTAATTCACCGTTGTCAGTGGTTATCAAACTCGGGGAGAGGGAAAGTCCTTTGGAAATGGCAGTGGTCTTTATGGTTTCTTTATGGGAGACCATAACTTCATGGTGTAAATCAATCTGTTATATAAACCCCGAGAACTTTTCTAGCGGGAAACATGATGTGGTCTGGAGGCAGAATATAAAGTCAGAACTGTGAGCTCGTGTTTGCACAGATGAAGCTGTTTTGACCCGCGTATAAGCAGTTGTTTTGGGGTTTTCGTTAATGCTAATTTAAAACTTTTCCACTGCTAATATGCATGAATGTGCAACAGTATCAGGAGTTCTAAATGCGCAAGAAAGATTGGGGGAAGTGCGACCTCATTTGTAACTGCCTAGTCATTTTGGGGACTCTCTAACCCCACATTGCTGTTCCACTCCTGTAAGAAGGCAGTGGCGGGTGAGGCTCTTCTCTGCTCGGCAGCCATCCTGGGAGGCTAAGTTCAGAGTCATGGTTTTCGTGGCCCGTGCACTCTGCTCAGCCTCCTGTAGCCAAGTGGAAGTGTGACGCGTGCACTGGGGTCCCAGCCCCACCTTCCCTGTGTAAGTGCCGCCCTCCCCTACGATGTCAGTCCTTCGTACTGAATCTCATCCCGAGGAGTTGCTGTCTCCTCCCGCAGATCACCAAGGTCATGCTGCTGAAGGGCTGGCGTTGCGTGGAGTGCATCGTGTGTGAGGTGTGCGGCCAGGCCTCAGATCCCTCGCGCCTGCTGCTCTGTGATGACTGTGACATTAGCTACCACACATACTGCCTGGACCCCCCACTGCTCACCGTGCCCAAGGGCGGCTGGAAGTGCAAGTGGTAAGGAAACCCAGGGTCCTCGCGGGCCAGGACCCGAGACACCGACTGCGTGACATGGCAGGCCGCTGGCTTCTCAGTGAGGCTGCCTCTGGTTTCCTTGAGTGGGTTAGTGCTGAGGGCCTGTCTTTCTGCCCCCACCAGGTGTGTGTCTTGCATGCAGTGCGGGGCCGCCTCCCCCGGCTTCCATTGTGAATGGCAGAACAGTTACACGCACTGCGGCCCCTGTGCCAGCCTGGTGACCTGCCCTGTGTGCCACGCTCCTTACGTGGAAGAGGATCTGCTAATCCAGTGCCGCCACTGTGAACGGTGAGGGCCCCCCTTTCCCTCATATTGGCCCTGTCTTCCCTGCCCTCAGCTTCTCATTGTCTGGGTTCGTATCTACCACCCCCTTCTCCAAGGTGGATGCACGCTGGCTGTGAGAGTCTCTTCACAGAGGATGATGTGGAGCAGGCAGCCGACGAGGGATTTGACTGTGTCTCGTGCCAGCCTTATGTGGTAAAGCCTGCAGGTAAGTTGTAGGCAACGGAGAGAGGAGAGGGAGTGAGGACGGGGGGTGCCTTGACGTGGGACGGGACTTCGAGCGGCCCTGGTTTGCCTCTCCACAGCACCTATTGCGCCTCCGGAGTTGGTGCCTATGAAGGTGAAAGAACCAGGTAAGTGGCAGAAATCCTGAATGCCAAAGCCAGAGCAACCTTCGAGACAACCTAGTCCAGCTCCAGCCTCCAGCTTCACCTCCTCAGTTTCAGAGGAGAAAACTAAGCCCTGGGGAGATTGAGTGGCCTCCCCAATGCCACGCTAGATTAGCAGCAACATTGTGGCTAGAACCAAGGCCTCCTGTTCCCCGGTGCATTTCCTTTCACCAGGGAACGTGCCTCTTCTCTAGAGAACATACCTCTTTCTCCTCAGCAGAGGTGCAGGGGCCTTCTCCGCCGTCACAACGTGGGGTGCAGCTCCCGGGGTCTCGGGCACTGTGTGCTGTGTTCATCAAACAGGGCCTCCTGGCCACCGGCAGCCGGAGTGTATTTAGTGAGCCTGGAGTTAATCTTCAGCCTGATTTCTACACTCTGGCCTCAGAGTCCCCTTGGTCACTGGGAATTGGGGTAGCAGCCAGCGCCCATTGGTGGGCTCCTCTCCAGCCTACAAACCCCAGGCTGGATTTTGGTTTCTCTCACCCTGCTTTGTCGCAGCTGGGGACTTGGGCTGAGACTTGGGGTTCTGATTTCCCTGGTGCTACCCCCCAGGGGTCACATGTTCCCTTCTTGCAGAGCCTCAGTACTTTCGCTTCGAGGGCGTGTGGCTGACAGAAACTGGCATGGCTGTGCTGCGTAACCTGACCATGTCACCCCTGCATAAGCGGCGCCAGCGGCGAGGACGGCTTGGCCTTCCAGGCGAGGCAGGGCTGGAGGGTCCGGAGCCCTCAGATGCCCTTGGACCTGATGATAAAAAGGATGGGGACATGGACACTGATGAGCTGCTCAAGGGTGAAGGTCAGGCTGGGAAATCTTCAGGAAGTGCCAAAGTAGGGGAAGCATGCTCATGAGAGTTTAGGGTGTTGGGTGGGGGCAGCAGCATCACCCTGATCACCCTCAAGCCACTGTCAGTCTTGTCCAAATGACAGGCCAGGCAGCCGACGCTCAGGTTGTGGGGTGGCAGCATGGCAGGGCTAAAGAGACCCCCGCCTCTGACTTGCTTCCGTTTTCTCCTGTCCCCACACATAGGTGGTGTGGAGCACATGGAATGTGAAATTAAGCTGGAGGGCCCCGTCAGCCCTGATGTGGAGCCTGGCAAAGAGGAGACTGAGGAAAGCAAAAAACGCAAGCGCAAACCCTATCGGCCTGGTGAGGCTCAGGGACGAGGAGGTCAAGGGTGAGGGCCAGCTCACTCGGTCACCAGCAGTGTCTCAGCCTCAGTTCTGCTTCTTGGCAGGCATTGGTGGTTTCATGGTGCGACAGCGGAAATCCCACACACGTGTGAAAAAGGGGCCTGCTGCACAGGCGGAGGTGTTGAGTGGGGATGGGCAGCCCGACGAGGGTGAGACGGGTGAGGGCACCATGGGGGCCGGGGGGTGGTGGGGGCCACAGGACCTCTGGGGTGCTGCCAGGGAGGGCTGGGGTCAGGGAAGGCTCACTGACAGGGCCAGGAGGGTGATGGGCCCAGCTGGTGTGGGAAGCAGAGCCGACCAAACGTCCCCAGGCCGAGTTGGGAGCAGCATGCGTGTTTCCCCCGAGAGCCTGACGCCTCCGGTTCTGTCCCCAGTGATGCCTGCTGACCTGCCTGCAGAGAGCTCCGTGGACCAGAGCTTAGCTGATGGGGATGAGAAGAAGAAGCAGCAGCGGCGAGGACGCAAGAAGAGCAAACTAGAGGACATGTTTCCTGCTTACTTGCAGGTCGGTCTTAGTCTCTGAGGGTTGAAGGGAGTGTCTGTCCTGTAGGGCATAAAGAAGCCTGTTTCTCCCTTACCCTTCCCACAGGAGGCCTTCTTTGGAAAGGAGCTGTTGGACCTGAGCCGGAAGGCCCTTTTTGCAGTTGGGGTGGGCCGGCCAAGCTTTGGAGTAGGAGCCCCAAAAGCCAAGGGAGACGGAGGCTCCGATAGGAAGGAGCTCCCCACCACACAGAAAGGTCAGTCATGAGCAGGAGGTGGTCTGAGGGGCTCCAGCTTCCCTCTGTACTGAGGAGCTGGCGAGGGAAGTTTGTGGAGAATGGGCTATGGCACCTCAACTGGAAACTCATTTGGGGTCTCAAGTGTAGAACATTTCTGACTGGAACCATTGCTTGTAGGAGACGAAGGTCCAGATATTGCAGATGAAGAATCCCGTGGTCCTGAGGGCAAAGCTGATACGCCAGGTGAGCGCTACTGAGAAGGCTGGCCCCTGCCTCGGTCTTGTCCCCGTCGTCCGAGTTTGCGCCTGCGTACCATCAGAGTAGAGGCCGGAACGATTCTGTGGTGGTTCCTCCATACTGACCCTGACTGATGGGTTTCTCCTGGCAATTGCAGGACCTGAGGATGGGGGCGTAAAGGCATCCCCAGTGCCCAGTGACCCTGAGAAACCAGGCACCCCAGGTGAAGGGATGCTTAGCTCTGACTTAGACAGGATCCCCACAGAAGGTGAGGCTGTGACCCACACGCTGCATGTTAAAGGGGCCTCTGGAAGGAGACGTTCCTGTCTGCGGGACTCGCCTGCGCAGTGACTGGCGGGGTCCTCAGTGCCTGCCCTGGTCATGACCACTCACAGACCTTGGCGCCCCTTCATTTCCTGGCCTCCCTCAGTAACGTTCTTTGTTGTCTACCACAGAACTGCCCAAGATGGAATCCAAGGACCTACAGCAGCTTTTCAAGGATGTTCTGGGTTCTGAACGAGAGCAGCATCTAGGTTGTGGGACCCCTGGCCTAGACGGCAGCCGGACACCGCTGCAGAGGCCATTTCTTCAAGGTGATACAGGTGGGAATGGCTTGAAGGCTGGGTGGATGGATGGGACCAAGCGTGGCCCCAGGATGGGCCATTTCCTCTCTTCTCTGTCTCGTAGGTGGACTTCCTTTGGGCAGTCTCCCCTCTGGCAGCCCAATGGACTCCTACCCGGGCCTCTGCCAGTCCCCATTCCTGGATTCAAGGTTGGTATCCATGCTTAGCCTCCGCGGGGAGTCCCCATAGTCACTTCCCTTTTATCGACTGGGGCCTTGCGGAGGGAGGGAACCTTGGACTTCTCCCCTGTTGTGGCCTTCGGTTAGGTCAGGGCAGCGGCCTGGGGTCTCTGCACAGTTTGTCTGGGGTGGGACTTGGCATCCCTGCCCCCTGTGACTCTCTGCCCCTGCGCCCCAGGGAGCGCGGGGGCTTCTTTAGCCCGGAACCCGGTGAGCCAGACAGCCCCTGGACAGGCTCTGGAGGCACCACGCCCTCCACCCCCACCACCCCCACCACAGAGGGTGAGGGCGACGGGCTCTCCTATAACCAGAGGAGTCTTCAGCGCTGGGAGAAGGATGAAGAGTTGGGCCAACTCTCCACCATCTCACCCGTGCTCTATGCCAACATTAACTTTCCCAATCTCAAGCAAGATTACCCAGGTACTGGGGGGCTGAGGGGAAGGGGCCAGCCTGGTGACATGGCGGGTTGCAGGGGTCACCAGGTCGCTTCTGACACAATCCCTCTGCCCACCAGACTGGTCTAGCCGTTGCAAACAAATCATGAAACTCTGGAGAAAGGTTCCAGCTGCTGACAAAGCCCCCTACCTGGTGAGATAGTGGGGAGCTGGGTGGTGTGGGAGCCGGGGGGGATTGTCCTTGGGAAGTTCACCTTGGTTTTTCCCATTCCCCACCCCTAAAGCAACCTGGGCCGGAAGGGATCAGCTTCTGGGTAGGGACTGTGAGTGACATTGTGAGGGATGAAGGCTTGGCTCGGGGCCGAGCCCCAGCCCTAAGGCTGTGTCCTGTATTCCTCAGCAAAAGGCCAAAGATAACCGGGCAGCTCACCGTATCAACAAGGTGCAAAAGGTGATTGGGGTCTCATTGCGGTGGGGGGGTGCGCTAGGGGGGTGTGGGGGGGGGGTGTGGGGCCTGCCACAGCAGCCTGACTGCTCTGTGCCTGGTCCCCTGTAGCAGGCTGAGAGTCAGATCAACAAGCAGACCAAGGTGGGCGACGTGGCCCGTAAGACTGACCGACCGGCCCTCCATCTCCGCATTCCCCCCCAGCCAGGGGCACTGGGCAGTCCACCCCCCGCTGCCGCCCCCACCATTTTCATTGGCAGCCCCACCACCCCCGCCGGCTTGTCTACCTCTGCGGATGGGTTCCTGAAGCCGCCGGCGGGCACCGTGCCCGGCCCCGACTCGCCCGGTGAGCTCTTCCTCAAGCTCCCGCCCCAGGGGCCCGCCCAAGTGCCTTCGCAGGATCCCTTCGGACTGACACCCTCGTACGCTCTGGAGCCCCGCTTCCCCTCAGCGCCTCCCACCTACCCTCCCTATCCTAGTCCAGCTGGGGCCCCCTCTCAGCCTCAAGCACTGGGCACCTCATCTCGTCCTGGGACTGGCCACCCAGGGGAATTCCACACTACTCCACCCGGCACCCCCCGACACCAGCCCTCCACGCCTGACCCCTTCCTCAAACCCCGCTGCCCCTCACTGGACAACCTGGCAGTGCCTGAGAACACTGGGGGAGGAGGCGGCAAGGCTTCGGAGCCCTTGCTCTCGCCCCCACCTTTCGGGGAATCTCGGAAGGCCCTAGAGGTGAAAAAGGAAGAGCTTGGGGCATCCTCTCCTAGCTATGGTCCCCCAAACCTGGGCTTTGTTGACTCGCCTTCCTCAGGCCCCCACCTGGGTGGCCTGGAGCTAAAGGCGCCTGATGTCTTCAAAGCCCCCTTGACTCCCCGGGCATCTCAGGTAGAGCCCCAGAGCCCAGGCGTAGGCCTCAGGCCCCAGGAGCCGCCCCCTGCCCAGGCTTTAGCCCCTTCTCCCCCCAGCCACCCAGACATCTTTCGCTCTGGCCCCTGCCCTGACCCCTATGCCCAGCCGCCCTTGACGCCTCGGCCCCAAGCCCCGGCCCCCGAGAGCTGCTGCTCGCTGCCACCCCGCTCACTGCCTTCCGACCCTTTCTCCCGAGTGCCTGCCAGTCCCCAGTCCCAGTCTAGTTCCCAGTCCCCGTTGACACCCCGACCTCTGTCTGCGGAAGCATTTTGCCCATCCCCTGTTACCCCGCGTTTCCAGTCCCCTGACCCTTATTCCCGCCCACCCTCGCGCCCTCAGTCCCGTGACCCATTTGCCCCATTGCACAAGCCACCCCGACCCCAGCCCCCTGAAGTTGCCTTCAAGGCTGGACCACTGGCCCACACTCCACTCGGGGCTGGGGGCTTCCCAGCAGCCCTGCCCTCGGGGCCCGCAGGTGAACTCCATGCCAAGGTCCCTAGTGGGCAGCCCCCTAATTTTGCCCGGTCTCCTGGAACGGGTGCCTTTGTGGGCACCCCATCCCCTATGCGTTTTACTTTCCCTCAGGCAGTAGGGGAATCTTCCCTGAAGCCCCCCGTCCCTCAGTCTGGTCTCCCTCCACCCCATGGGATCAACAGCCATTTTGGGCCTGGCCCTGCTTTGGGCAAGCCGCAAAGCACAAACTACGCAGTCGCCCCAGGGAACTTCCACCCGCTGGGCAGCCCCCTGGGACCCAGCAGTGGGTCCACAGGAGAGGGCTACAGGCTGTCCCCACTGCGGCCCCCGTCAGTCCTACCACCTGCGCCCGATGGGCCCCTCCCCTACCTGGCCCATGGAGCCTCCCAGCGGGCAGGCATCACCTCTCCAGTCGAAAAGCGAGAAGATACAGGGGCTGGAATGGGCAGTTCTTTGGCGGCACCTGAGCTTCCAGGTACCCAAGACCCAGGCATGTCCGGCCTCAGCCAGACAGAGCTGGAGAAGCAGCGTCAGGTAAGCTGATGCCCCGGACCTGAGCTCCCCCGTGTGACCTGTCCCGTGCCGGTGTTGTAGTCAGAGTAGGGGGGTTCATCCTCCGCTCCGTCCCCTACACAGCGCCAGCGGCTGCGGGAGCTGCTGATTCGTCAGCAGATCCAGCGCAACACCCTGCGGCAGGAGAAGGAGACAGCTGCCGCAGCGGTGGGAGCAGTGGGGCCCCCCAGCTCCTGGGCCGCCGAGCCTGGCAGCCCTGCCTTTGAGCAGCTGAGTCGAGGCCAGACCCCCTTTTCTGGCACCCAGGTGGGTAGAGTGGCAAGGGGTGGCGCTGGGTTGGCTCGCAGCGGTGGGCTCCCTTTCATCCACCTGTCTCTCCTAGGACAAGAGCAGCCTTGTGGGACTACCCCCAAGCAAGCTGGGGGGCCCCATCCTGGGGCCTGGGGCTTTCCCTGGTGACGACCGACTCTCCCGGCCCCCTCCGCCAGCTACCCCTTCCTCTTTGGATGTGAACAGTCGGTGAGGCTCTAGAAGGTTCCGTGGGGACCGGGTTTTACTGCTGCCGTGTGCTGCCTCTGATTTCCTGTCACCAGTTCTGTGTCACTCAGTTTCCCCTTCTCTCCCGAGACCCTTGTCTTTACGAACTAGCCCGCCTCACTGCCCTGAGCCCAGGTTCTAATTCATCTCACTAACTTGTGCATGTTCTTCCAGGCAACTGGTGGGAGGCTCCCAGGCCTTCTATCAGCGAGCGCCCTACCCCGGGTCCCTGCCCTTGCAGCAGCAGCAGCAGCAGCAGCAACTGTGGCAGCAGCAGCAGGCGACAGCGGCAGCAGCCTCCATGAGACTCGCGGCGCCCACTCGCTTTCCAGCAGCGCCGGGGCCTGAGCTCGGCCGCCAGGCCCTGGCTCCCCCTTTGGCAGGGGTTCCCACTCGCCTGTCCGGCCCCGCCGAGCCAGTGCCCGGTCCAGCTGGTCCCGCCCAGTTCATTGAGTTGAGGCACAATGTACAGAAAGGACTGGGACCTGGAGGGGCTCCATTTCCTGGTCAGGGGCTCCCTCAGCGGCCCCGTTTTTACCCCGTTAGTGAGGACACCCACCGACTGGCTCCTGAAGGCCTTCGAGGCCTAGTGGTAGCTGGTCTTCCCCCGCAGAAACCCCCAGCCCCGCCGGCCCCTGAATTGAACAATAGCCTCCATCCACCACCCCACAAGGGTCCCACCCTGCCCGCCAGCTTGGAGCTGGTCAACCGGCCCCCCTCACGCACCGAGCTTGGCCGTCCCCCTCCTCTGGCCCTGGAAGCTGGGAAGTTACCCTGTGAGGATCCTGAACTGGACGATGACTTTGACGCCCACAAGGCCTTAGAGGATGACGAGGAGCTTGCTCACCTGGGCCTGGGTGTGGATGTCGCCAAGGGAGATGATGAGTTGGGCACCCTGGAGAACCTGGAGACCAATGACCCCCACCTGGATGACCTGCTCAATGGGGATGAGTTTGACCTGCTGGCCTACACTGACCCTGAGCTGGACACTGGGGACAAGAAGGACATCTTCAATGAGCACCTGAGACTGGTGGAGTCAGCCAATGAAAAGGCTGAGCGGGAAGCCCTGCTGCGGGGTGTGGAGCCGGGGCCCTTGGCCCCTGAGGAGCGCCCTCCGCCTGCTGCCGATAATGCGGAGCCCCGGCTGGCGTCCGGCCTGCCTGAGGTGAAGCCCAAGGTGGAGGAGAGTGGGCGCCACCCTTCCCCTTGCCAGTTCACTGTTACCGGCCCCAAGATAGAGGCAGCACCTGCTACCACTTCCCTGGGTCTGGGACTGAAACCAGGACAGACTGGGATGGGCAGCCGGGACACCCGGATGGGCCCAGGACCCTTTTCTGGCAGTGGACACATGGCTGAGAAGGGCCCCTTTGGGGCCACAGGAGGCCCGCCGGCTCACCTGCTGGCCCCCAGCCCGTTGAGTGGCCCCGGAGGGTCCTCCTTACTGGAAAAGTTTGAGCTAGAGAGTGGAGCCCTGACCCTGCCCAGTGGACCCACAGCATCTGGGGATGAGCTGGACAAGATGGAGAGCTCACTGGTAGCCAGTGAGTTACCGCTGCTTATCGAGGACCTGTTAGAGCATGAGAAGAAGGAGCTGCAGAAGAAGCAGCAGCTTTCGGCACAGCTGCAGCCCCCCCAGCAGCAGCCGCCGCCGCAGCCGCAGCAGCCGCCGCCGCAGCCTCAGCAGCATTCCCTGTTGTCCACACCTGGTCCTGCCCAGGTCATGTCTTTGCCCCACGAGGGCTCTTCTCCCAGTTTGGTTGGGCCCCAGCAGCAACTTGCCCTGGGACTCGGAGGTTCCCGACAGCCAGGCTTGACGCAGCCACTGATGCCCAGCCAGCCACCAGCTCATGCCCTGCAGCAGCGCCTGGCTCCCTCCATGGGCATGGTGTCCAACCAGGGACACATGCTGAGTGGGCAGCATGGAGGGCAGGCAGGCTTGGTGGCCCAGCAGAGCTCACAGCCAGTGCTGGCACAGAAGCCCATGGGTACAATGCCACCTTCCATGTGCATGAAACCCCAGCAACTGGCAATGCAGCAGCAGCTGGCCAACAGCTTTTTCCCAGATACAGGTAACCTCAGCCGGGAGCACTGGCTGGTTACTCAGGGGCGATCACTGCTACCACCTTATGGGCCCTGAAGCCACAGACCTAGTTGCAGGAGCGGGACACAGACCCTTGTAACCACTGTGAGCGGTGTAGGCAGGAACAATGCAGCTTTTAAAAAAGATGGGGCAGTGCCTGGCAGAGCTGGCGCTGAGATACTTGAGTGAAGAAATGGCCCGAGGGCAGGAAGTCTTAAGTAGCAAAGACCTAGGAGCTGTGGAGAGGACTTGGGAGTTGGGACTTGGAGAGAAGTGGTAAAGGAGATCCAGTCCGGGGAGGTGACGTGACGTAAAGTGACGTGAGGAGCTGCAGTTGGCTGGGAAACTGTTGGGACATTTGGAGTCAGTGAGGTCGAGGCTGGAGGAGACTAGTGGGAGGGAAATGGGCACTACCAGAGCAAGCAAGGGCTGGCCTTAACGGCGTTTGTCACAGCCGTGTTTCTCAACACGGCACTCCCTTCATGGAGTGACTCGTTTGCCAAGCAGTGTGCTGAGCACTTCGCATTCGTTGTCTGCTCACCCTGACAGACTCATTAAGGGTGCTGTTACAGTCTTTGACCTTAGAAAAGGAGACAGACGTGGAGGATAAGTATCTTGCCCAGGAATACACAGCTAATAGCTAGTTTGAACCCTGCCCTCTGCTCCTCTGTACTGTTTTATTTCTTCAAAATACCAGGAGAGAGTTTGGTTAGTCTGTTTACTTATCTGTTTATTTACCTGTGTATTCATTTGGTGAAGCACCTCTTACCTCTCTAGTATTCGTTTGTTGACAGTGTGGTGTTATCCCCAGACATCTCACCGGAGCTCTCCCACCACTGAGCACCCCTGGTTCTCCACCATACCCCATCTTCATCCCTCCTCCTCCCCTCCTAGAGGCCTCAAAACTTCGTTAGTCCTTTCCAAAGTGGGGAGTCAGTAAACTTCTGAGGAGTGGAGACATGTTCAATGTCTAGGACTTCCAGAAGATTTACGTTTTTTGTGATTGTTTATTTCTCCCGCTAACCGGCATCTTGGGCTGGCAAACAGTGGGCTGTCGGTGATTCTTAGCCCTGGCATGTCAAGTTTTGCCCCAGTGCCCACATTTTGGGTTCTTGGAACATACCAGTTGCCCTAAGAACATTACTTCTGAAGGATGCTTTCTAGGTCATAAAGTGTACGCAGATTTTTGTCACGCCTGATCCTCCGGACAGCTCCGTGAGGTAGGCAGAGCCATGATCGCGATCTCGCTCATAGAGGAGGGAGCCGACACTCAGAAGTGGAATGGCTTGATATGTTGGCTCAGCAAACACTGAATACCTTGCCTGGTGCTGTGCTAGTGACGATGGGGCCTTGTGCCCTGTGACTGGCAGAGTCGAGTCACTGTCGGGCTTCTAGTCTGGTGTTTTTCCGTGGCGCCATGCCGTCTTTCTGCTTGCTTGGTGGAAGTCAAGGTTTGGAAAGGAAGAGCAGGTAGGGAAATGACCCAGTGCCCTGCTCACTTGACTTTCCTTCTCCAGACCTGGATAAATTTGCTGCAGAAGATATCATTGATCCCATTGCAAAGGCCAAGATGGTGGCTTTGAAAGGCATCAAGAAGGTGATGGCTCAGGGCAGTATTGGAGTAGCACCTGGCATGAACAGGTGAGACTTGGGGGCTGGGGGGGGGTGGCCCTTTGCTGTCCCAGCCCCTTCCCCCTTGTCCCCCTCTCTGTTTGTCCTACCTCTTTACCTTTCAACTTTCCCCACCACCAACATATGCTCCTTGCTTTGGTGGACTGCAGGCAGCAAGTGTCCCTCCTCGCCCAGAGACTCTCAGGAGGCCCTGGTGGCGACCTGCAGAACCATGTGGCAGCTGGGAGTGGCCAGGTGAGTTGTGAAGGGCACAGGAGCTTGTGTTCTCTGCCTTCAGGCCCCTTTTCTTAGGACCTGGTATGGAACAGTGACCTAACAGTCACTCTCTTGCAGGAACGGAATGCTGGTGACCCCTCCCAGCCTCGTCCCAATCCACCCACTTTCGCCCAGGGGGTGATCAGTGAGTATGGGGCTGGGAAGATTGCAGGAAGTGGCTTGGAGCATGTGGAGGAAGAGGGGTCGGGACCACCATTTTGTTGGCCTGATCTGACCGTCTGCTTCCTCTCCCAGATGAGACTGATCAGCGGCAGTATGAAGAGTGGCTGTTCCATACTCAGCAGCTCCTACAGATGCAGCTAAAGGTGCTAGAGGAGCAGATCGGTGTGCACCGCAAGTCCCGGAAAGCCCTGTGTGCCAAGCAGCGCACTGCCAAGAAGGCTGGCCGCGAGTTCCCAGAAGCAGATGCTGAAAAGCTCAAGCTGGTTACGGAACAGCAGAGCAAGATCCAGAAACAGCTGGATCAGGTGGGGAAAGTAAACTTGCGCCTAGCAACCGGGAGCCCAGGAAGAGGGATGGCACAGGTGGGCAGGCTCTGGGCTGACCTCCCTGAACCTTCCATTAGGTCCGGAAGCAGCAGAAGGAGCACACTAACCTCATGGCAGAATATCGGAATAAACAGCAGCAGCAGCAGCAGCAGCAGCAGCAACAGCAGCAGCAACAACAGCAGCAGCAGCAGCAGCAGCAGCAGCAGCAACAGCACCAGCACTCAGCCGTGCTGGCTCTTAGTCCTTCCCAGAGTCCCCGGCTACTCACCAAACTCCCTGGTCAGCTGCTCCCTGGCCATGGGCTGCAGCCACCACAAGGACCCCCGGGTGGGCAAGCTGGAGGTCTTCGCCTGCCCCCAGGGGGCATGGCACTACCTGGACAGCCTGGTGGCCCCTTCCTCAACACAGCCCTGGCCCAGCAGCAGCAACAGCAACATTCTGGTGGGGCTGGGGCCCTGGCTGGGCCCTCAGGGGGCTTTTTCCCTGGCAATCTTGCGCTTCGAGGCCTCGGACCTGATGCGAGGCTTTTACAGGAAAGGCAGCTGCAGTTGCAACAGCAGCGTATACAACTGGCCCAGAAACTGCAGCAGCAGCAGCAGCAGCAGCAGCACCTCCTAGGACAGGTGGCACTCCAGCAGCAACAGCAGCAGGGCTTGGGGGTTCAGGCAAACCAGGCTCTGGGTCCTAAGTCTCAGGGCCTGTTGCCTCCCAGCAGCCATCAGGGTCTTTTAGTTCAGCAGCTGTCTCCACAACCCCCCCAGGCCTCCCAGGGCATGCTGGGCCCTGCTCAAGTGGCAGTTCTGCAGCAGCAGCAGCAGCAGCAGCAGCAGCATCCTGGAGCTTTGGGCCCCCAGGGCCCTCACAGACAGGTGCTTCTGACTCAGCCCCGGTTGCTGAGTTCCCCTCAGGCGGCACCGCAGGGTCAAGGCCTTATGGGACACCGACTGGTCACAGCCCAGCAGCAGCCACAGCACCAGCAGCAGGGCTCTGTGGCAGGACTTTCTCATCTTCAGCAGGGTTTGATGCCGCACAGTGGGCAGCCCAAACTGAGTGCTCAACCCATTGGCTCCCTCCAGCAGCAACAGCTTCAACAGCAGCAGCAGCAGCAGCAGCAGCAGCAGCAGCAGCAGCAGCTTCAACAGCAGCAACAGCAGCAACTTCAACAGCAGCAGCAACTTCAGCAGCAGCAGCAACAGTTTCAACAGCAACAACAGCTTCAACAGCAGCAGCTGCAGCAGCAACTTCAGCAGCAACAACTGCAGCAGCAGCAGCAACAGCAGTTTCAGCAGCAGCAGCAGCAGCAGCAGCAGCAGCAGCAGCAGCAGCAGCAGCAGCAGATGAGTCTCTTGAGCCAGAATCGAACTTTACTGTCCCCTCAGCAGCCACAGCAGCAGGTGGCACTCGGCCCCAGTGTGCCAGCCAAGCCTCTCCCACACTTTTCGAGCCCCGGAGCCTTGGGTCCGGCCCTCCTCCTGACTGGCAAGGAACCAGGCATTGTAGAGACAGCGCTTCCTCCAGAGGTCCCTGAGGGGCCCTCTGCTCACCAGGGAGGGCCCTTGGCCATAGGGACTATGTCTGAGTCGGTGGCTGCTGAGTCAGGAGAGGCAAAGCCCACGCTCTCTTCGGACTCGCAGCTCCTGCTCATCCAGCCCCAGGCCCAGCCTCAGCCCAACCCTGTGCAGCTGCAGCCCCCTCTGAGGCTCCCAGGACAACAGCCTCAAGTTAACTTAGTCCACACAGCAGGTATGGGAAACCACGGGCAAGCAGGCAGCGGATCATCTTCTGAGGTCTCGTCGGTGCCTCACCTGCTCACCCAGTCCTCTGTTTCCTTGGGGGAACAGCCTGCGTCCATGGCCCAGAACCTTTTGGGCTCACAGCAGACCCTCGGATTGGAGCGGCCCATGCAAAATAACATAGGCACCCAACCTGCCAAGCCAGGACCTGTTCCGTCGTCTGGGCAGGCCTTGCCTGGGCCTGCTGTCATGCCTACAGTGGGTCAGATTCGAGCACAACTCCAAGGAGTCCTGGCCAAAAACCCACAGCTACGGCACTTGAGCCCCCAGCAGCAGCAGCAGCTACAGGCACTCCTCATGCAGCGGCAGCTACAGCAGAGTCAGGCAGTACGCCAGACTGCACCCTGCCAGGAGCCTGGGACCCAGCCCTCGCCCCTCCAGGGCCTTCTCGGCCGCCAGCCCCCACTGGGGGCCTTCCCTGGATCCCAGACAGGCCCCCTCCAAGAGCTAGGGGCAGGGCTTCGACCTCAGGGCCCACCCCGGCTCCCCGCCCCACAAGGAGCCTTATCCACAGGACCAGTCCTTGGCCCTGTCCATCCCACACCTCCACCTTCCAGCCCCCAAGAGCCAAAGAAATCCTCACAGTTGTCTCCCCCCAGCTCCCAGCTTCCCTCTGAGGCCCAGCTCACCCCTACCCAGCCAGGAACCCCAAAACCCCAGGGGCCACCTTTGGAGTTGCCTCCTGGAAGGGTCTCGCCCGCTGCTGTCCAGCTTGCAGATACCTTCTTTGGCAAGGGACTAGGACCTTGGGACCCCCCAGACAACCTAGTGGAAGCCCAGAAGCCAGAGCAGAGCAGCCTGGTGCCTGGACGTCTGGAGCAGGTGAATGGACAGGTGGTGCCTGAGTCACCCCACCTCAGCATCAAACAGGAGCCTCGGGAAGAATCGTGTGCCCTAGGAACCCAGACTATGAAGAGGGAGGCAAATGGGGAGCCGGTGGGGGTACCAGGTACCAGCAACCACCTCCTGCTGGCAGGCCCCCGCTCAGAGGCTGGGCACCTGCTCTTGCAGAAGCTTCTACGGGCAAAGAATGTGCAACTTGGCACTGGGCGGGGGCCTGAGGGGCTGCGGACTGAGATCAACGGGCACATTGACAGCAAGCTGGCCGGGCTGGAACAGAAACTACAGGGTCCCCCCAGCAATAAGGAGGTGAGTATTCTAGATCGGAGCAGATGGAGGGGCGTGGAGCCCGTGGACAGAGTGAGCACGGCTGGGTCCAGCAGAAGAGGTGAGGGCTCTGAGGAAGAGCGCAGCCTCCACCGTGGGTTTCTCTGCTTTAGGATGCAGCGGCAAGGAAGCCTTTAACACCGAAGCCAAAGAGGGTGCAGAAGGCAAGCGACAGGTTGGTGAGCTCCCGAAAGAAGCTGCGGAAGGAGGACGGGGTCAGGGCCAGCGAGGCCTTGCTGAAACAGCTGAAACAGGTGACCCCCAGGGCCTCGTCCCCGGGCCGATCCCAGGGTGGGGGTGCCATGGCCCGAGCTGTGTGGCGGCAGAGAGCTGCAGGCTGCACTTGCCAACCTTGTCGTCTTGCCCCTTCAGGAGCTGTCCTTGTTGCCCCTGACGGAGCCTACCATCACCGCCAATTTTAGCCTCTTTGCTCCCTTTGGCAGTGGCTGCCCGGTCAGTGGGCAGTGCCAGCTGAGGGGGGCCTTTGGAAGTGGCGCGCTGCCCACTGGCCCTGACTACTATTCCCAACTACTTACCAAGGTCAGGAAAGCGGCAATTGGGGGGGGGTGATGATAAAAGTTGTTGGGAAGGTGGGGGTGGGACTAGGAGACTTGAGGAAACTGCTGATGTACTGAGGGGCCTGGAAGTTACGTCAGTCTCCCTATACCACCTTGCACACGACACCCCACCCCACCCCCAGAATAACCTGAGTAACCCGCCGACACCACCCTCGTCGCTGCCCCCCACCCCACCCCCATCGGTGCAGCAGAAGATGGTAAATGGTGTCACTCCATCTGAAGAGCTGGGGGAGCAGCCCAAGGAGACCGCCTCTGCCCAGGATACTGAAGGTGCGCTGAGAGGTGAGTGAGGAGAAGCCACTCCGCCCTGGGGTCTGGTGGCGGGGGTGAAAGCCAGTTGGTGTGTCTGGGTGCCGTTTCAGAGAACAGGTGGCGTGATGCCCCTTGAGTGTAGGTGACAGACGCCTGAGAAAAGATGTCCCTCTTTAGCCCGCTTGTTGGAGACCAGGTTGGACTTCTGGAACCCAGAGCCAGGGCAATGGGGAGGTGATGCCCGGCCGAGTGTAAATTAAATTTTGTTTACAAGGAGCACTGAGCGTTGGTGCTTATGGAACTGCAGTCAGATGAGGCTTTGAATTCTGGCTCCTGTGTTCATGCAGCCCAGTAAGTGGGTTGACTCGTGTGGGCCTCGACTTCCCCACTGTAAAGTAGGCATTGCGATCGCACCTAGTAAACAGAGAGCGTGCCTGCCGTCCAGGGCCTGGCACGTTAGAAGAGATCAGTAAGTGCAGCGTATCTGCCCCGGGCTGGCAGGTCAGTAGGTGGGTGACTGTCGTCATGGCTGCTCTAGGTCTCTGGACCTGAAATGTGGGAGGGAACACTACCAGCTCTGACCATCCCCCGCCCAACTTTTCTCCTTACCTACCCCTCAGATGCTTCAGAGGTGAAGAGTCTAGACCTGCTGGCCGCCCTGCCTACACCCCCTCACAACCAGACTGAGGATGTCAGGTGAGAATGTACATGAGGAACGGGCGGGGCACGGGTTCTCGCCTCTTTCCCTTGGCCAGTGACAGCTGTGACACCAGCTCATCCAGGCTGTTAAATGTCTGTTTTTCTCCCTTAGGATGGAGAGTGATGAGGACAGCGATTCTCCCGACAGCATTGTGCCAGCTTCGTCCCCTGAGAGCGTCCTGGGCGAGGAGGCCCCTCGTTTCCCTCATCTCGGCTCAGGCCGGTGGGAGCAGGACGACCGGGCGCTCTCCCCTGTCATCCCCATCATTCCTCGGGCCAGCATTCCAGGTAGGGGCAGCTGCGGGTCTGAGCCAGGCCAGGCTGGGCCGAGTTGTCAGAGGCTGAGGAGGAGAGGCAGCTGGAACTTGCTGGGGTCCCTCTTTTTTTGTTCAGTTTTCCCGGATACCAAACCTTGTGGGCCCTTGGAGCTGGAGGCCCCTGGCAAGCTGCCTGCCGCAACGTGGGAGAAGGGCAAAGGAAGTGAGGTGTCGGTCATGCTGACAGTCTCCGCTGCTGCAGCCAAGGTGTGTTCTGGGGGTGCCGGGGAGGCCAGGGAGTGGTGTCAGAGCTCATCTGGGTAACTGACCGTTCAGAGCTGTGCAGCGAGGACTCCGTGTATGAAAGCCGGGCTGGGGACTCGGGGCTAGGGTAGAGGAAGCAGGGGCCTTCCCCCCCAGGGTCATGGCCAGGGGTTAGAACAAGTCAGCAGGAAGGAAAATGTGCGGTGTGACAGATACTCTAAGCGCGCACCCGGGCACGTTAGGTGGTGCTCTGTGTTTTAGTTGTTTGTTTATTAAAAGAATTTATTTGTGTGTATAAGAGCTGGGGTACAGACTAGAGATGCAGGCGGTGAGAGGCTTCACCAGAGTCAGAGTGGGGAGCAGAACAGGCAGATCAGCGGTGTACACTGCTGAGGGGAGCAGCGGGCGGGCCAGGGGAGGGCTGCCGCGCCATGTGGGTCACCCCTCGGCTGGGAATTGAACTCTTATGCTGCTGTGGCTGCAGATAGCTCATGGTGCTGCGCTTTAACCCATTGCGCTACCAGGGAGGGCCCTGGCATTCTGTCCTATAAGTTTTTGTGGAAACAGGAGACCCCAGTTAAAGCACTGGAACAAGTTTCTTGAGCACAGGTTCTCTCATTTGCTAGTGTGTATATAAATCTTCCAGTTGGTGGGTACAATGTATATCATTTCTAAACTTAGCGGACACCGGTTCCTTTTTGTGGCGCTCCTATCAGTGCCCACAGCAGTTTGGGAAAGCAGCTATACAGGAAGCTTGTGGGAAGAGCTGGCCGGCTCGGGGCAGGCCTGGCCGGCCTTCTGGCTCTCCTTGTTTGCGCTAGGCTGACGGCAGTGGCCAGTCCACAAATGGTGACACAGCTCTCCCGTCTCCTTCCCTGCCCTGGCAGAACCTGAATGGTGTGATGGTGGCAGTTGCAGAACTGCTTAGCATGAAGATCCCCAATTCCTACGAGGTGCTGTTCCCAGAAGGCCCCGCCCGAGCAGGCATTGAGCATAAGAAGGGGGAAGCTGAGGGCCTTGGTGAGTGTGGCAGGAAAACCACTTGGGATCAGAGGGCAGTGATTCTGGTGGGAGGCTCTGACCCCGTCCTTCCTGCAGGTGGGAAAGAGAAGGGTCTGGGAGGCAAGAGCCCTGAAGCTGCTTGGCTGAAGCAGTTTGATGCGGTGTTGCCCGGCTACACTCTCAAGAGCCAGCTAGACATCTTGAGCCTCCTGAAACAGGTGGGTCGGGGAGAGGACGGGGGCGGCTGTCAGGAAAGAGGTGCTGGCTAGGGCAAGGAAAGCCAGCTTTGGGGGAGAGTGCGTCTGGGGGGAGGAGAGGCACTGGTGAGAGCCAGCACTAATGACCCAGGGCCCGTGCCTTCCCCTAGGAGAGCCCCGCCCCAGAGCCACCCACCCAGCACAGCTACACCTATAACGTCTCCAATCTGGACGTGCGACAGCTCTCCGCCCCGCCTCCTGAGGAGCCCTCCCCACCTCCCTCCCCCTTGGCACCCTCTCCTGCCAGCCCCCCTGCAGAGCCCCTGGTTGAACTCCCATCTGAACCCTCCACCGAGCCGCCAGTCCCCTCACCTCTGCCGCTGGCCTCATCCCCTGAGTCAGCCCGGCCCAAACCCCGAGCGCGGCCTCCTGAAGAAAGTGAAGATTCCCGGCCCCCTCGTCTCAAGAAGTGGAAGGGCGTCCGTTGGAAGCGGCTGAGGCTGCTGCTGACCATCCAGAAGGGCAGTGGGCGGCAGGAGGACGAGCGGGAAGTGGCGGAGTTTATGGAGCAGCTCGGCACAGCCCTGCGGCCTGATAAGGTGCCTCGAGACATGCGGCGCTGCTGCTTCTGTCACGAGGAGGGTGATGGGGCGACGGACGGGCCCGCCCGCCTGCTGAACCTGGACCTGGACCTGTGGGTGCACCTCAACTGTGCCCTGTGGTCCACGGAGGTGTACGAGACGCAGGGCGGGGCGCTCATGAACGTGGAGGTGGCCCTGCACCGGGGCCTGCTCACCAAGTGCTCCCTGTGCCAGCGCACCGGCGCCACCAGCAGCTGCAACCGCATGCGTTGCCCCAGCGTCTACCACTTCGCCTGCGCCATCCGCGCGAAGTGCATGTTTTTCAAGGACAAGACCATGCTGTGTCCGATGCATAAGATCAAGGGCACCTGCGAGCAGGAGCTGAGCTCGTTTGCCGTCTTCCGGCGGGTCTACATCGAGAGGGATGAGGTGAAGCAGATCGCCAGCATCATCCAGCGGGGAGAGCGGGTGCACATGTTCCGCGTGGGCGGCCTCGTGTTCCACGCCATCGGACAGCTGCTGCCGCACCAGATGGCCGACTTCCACAGCGCCACCGCCCTGTACCCCGTGGGCTACGAGGCCACGCGCATCTACTGGAGCCTGCGCACCAACAACCGCCGCTGCTGCTACCGCTGCTCCATCGGCGAGAACAGCGGGCGGCCGGAGTTCGTCATCAGAGTGGTCGAGCAGGGCCTGGAGGATCTGGTCTTCACCGACGCCTCTCCCCAAGGTGAGCACTGGGCCCTCGGGCTGGCAGGGGGAGGCGGGCAAGCTTCCCTGGGACGCCCGTGCAGTGTGGAGAGCGCCCTGCAGGGGCTCGCAGGAAGAGCCCTGACACAAGCCTTCTGGCTTCACTCCGTCACCTTAAGTTCCCTTGTGGTTGAAGACATTGTGCTGTCTAATTTCACATATTCTAGCTTTGTCCTGCACTCAGTGGCTCTGAAGGCGTTCTGAGACCCTGTCATCGGCTCACCCACTCCGACCCTGACCTTGAGTTCCTTGTGGTTGCTTTTCCCTGGGAGAGATTCTTTTGTTCGTTGCCTTAGTGTTAATGATGAAAGTAACAGTAAGAGCAGTTTCCTCCTAGCGAGCATACCACGAACTACACTAAGCGATTTTTATAGATTATTTTGTTTGTGCGACCCTCTGAGGTAAGTATTAGCACCATGCCCAGTGCATACGCGCACTGAAATTTAGGGAGACATCGGCATTTGGCTGAAGGCCCCATGGCCAGTTCTAGAACCTGAGCCCAAGTCTTCCCAGCTGCAAAGCGTAGCTGGCTGGGTCTCCAGGGCCCGGGGACCACGTCTCTGCGTCACAGGCTCTGCTGCTACTGCAGCGTTGGCAGTCTCTCGGCTTGTTGAGGGGGAGTGGGACTGGGGTTCCCTCGTGGGGGTCATGGAGAGCACACCCCCCATGTGACAGGGAGGTGTGCAGGCTGCAGACAACAGCTTTTGCTCCGATGGAGATCGGGAGCTGGAGGCCCCTGAGCAGAGCTGCCTCAGAGCTGCTGTCTCCTTTGCCCCCCAGCCGTGTGGAATCGCATCATCGAGCCCGTGGCCGCCATGAGAAAGGAGGCTGACATGCTGCGGCTCTTCCCCGAGTACCTGAAAGGCGAGGAGCTCTTCGGGCTGACGGTGCACGCTGTGCTTCGCATAGCGGAATCAGTAAGTGAGGCGCTGCCACGGGCCCCAGGGCCGGCGGGCGCTGGGGACGCCGGCCTGTCCCGCAGGGGCTCGGGCTCGGGCTCAGGCGAGCACGTGTGCCCCACAGCTGCCCGGAGTGGAGAGCTGTCAGAACTACTTGTTCCGCTACGGACGCCACCCACTGATGGAGCTGCCTCTCATGATCAACCCCACTGGCTGTGCCCGGTCAGAGCCTAAAATCCTCACACACTACAAACGGTGAGCTTGTGCTTTGGGGCCAAGGCAGGGGGGGTCGGGGGCTGACAGGGGTGCTTTGACCAATCACAGGAGTTTAGGGTTCCATATCAAGAGTTTCCTTGGCGAGACTGGGGCTTCACTCTAGGCCCTCCGAATAGAGGGTGCACAGGTATCGCTAGGGTACCCCATTCCTCCTCAACAGCCTGCCCAGGTGTGCTGGGTTAACTTGGGCTCTAGGACAGACTGCTTTTGGGGACCGTGGGATGGTTGCCGGGCGGGTCTGGGCAGACACCGGTAAAGTTCTGTGAGCCATAGAAGGGACCCAGTGACCTCCTCCTCTTGTTTTGCATCCGGGGGTGGGTGCCTATGAGTCTCCCAAACCTCAGCCACCCCATCAGTGCCCAGGGTCACTTCCCTTCCCCAGGCTGAGTTGGTGTCAAAAATAGAGATATAATAGAAAAGTAATAAAGCCTTACATGTGTATAGCACTTTATACTTTTTTTTTCAAAGCGTTTTCACATCCATTATCTCATTTGATCCTCACAACAACCTTATGAGGTAGGTAGGGCAGGTGGTATGACCCCCATTTCACAGCTGAGAAAACTGAGACCCAGAAAAGTTAAGTGACTAGACAAAGGTCACACAGCTGGGACTGGAACCTTACCTCTTGACTTGTGGGTCACTGTTCTTTCTGTGGACTGCAGTGGCATGACCCTGGCCCCTGGGCAGCGGGAGGCAGAGTCCCTGGCAGCGGGGCTTTCCCGAAGGCCTCGGCTGCGCCCCCCGGCTGCCGTGGAGCGCCACGCTCCACCCCAGTTCTCCCTGCCCTTGAAACTCTGCAGCAGTGGTTTTCAGACTGTGTGTCCCAAAGCCCTGGACCACATGCGGGTGGGCAAACTCGGCACTTCCCGGGTGAGACTCCCCTCTCCCCCAACTGGGTTCATCTAGAAGAGCTCCATTTTCATCTGGTTTCTGCATTGGAGTTCCAATAACATTTTGTTACTAAAAAGATTTCTGCTAAATAAAAAAGAAGAGAACGAAAATGTTTGAAAACCACTGCTCTGGGATGGGCAAGAATTTGGCTGATGCCCTCGGGTGGTGAAAAGGCATCTTGCCAGGCAGCAGTTATTCCCCTGCACTGAGCCGTCTGCACAGAGCCCAATGCTATGTGCAAAAAGTGACAGTCTGAAGGAGGGAAAGGATACCACCTTTGGGCTGTGAACTCAGAGGCAGCTTGAATGCAGATCTAGCCCAGTGTTGAACACAGCCTCTGCTCTCAGGGCTTCTCGTTTGTGCAGAAGGTAGGTCTCTGACATTCGAGCAAACCAGAAGCTTAAATTCCAGGCCTGGGCTGCTTGGGGAAGACCTCCCAGAGGGGCGAGGCCTGGAGTATGGTTTGGCGGGAGGGTGGTGTAGCAGGCGGGGAGATGGAGAGCAGGCTCAGTGTAGGGGAATTGGCACCCCCCCACTCTCCTCCCCCCTCCCTGGGCTCTCTGTGCTACCCAGGCTGTCGGAGGGGCCCAGTAGCTAGTCGCTGCCTCACCAGAGCCGACACCTACATGCTCCCAGTCCATCCCCAGGCACCACACACCCCGACCGGCGTGTTGCACATCCCAGGGTGGGTGGAGTGCGCTTCTGAGGAGAACTATCTTGTCATGGACTGTGTCACCTCCCAGGCCCCACACCCTGAACAGCACCAGCATGTCCAAGGCGTATCAGAGCACCTTCACGGGCGAGACCAACACCCCGTACAGCAAGCAGTTTGTGCACTCGAAGTCGTCTCAGTACCGGCGGCTTCGCACCGAGTGGAAGAACAATGTGTATCTGGCTCGTTCCCGCATCCAGGGCCTGGGGCTCTATGCAGCCAAAGACCTAGAAAAGCACACAATGGTCATCGAGTACATTGGCACCATCATTCGAAATGAGGTGGCCAACCGGCGGGAGAAAATCTATGAGGAGCAGGTAGGGGCTGGCAGAGGGCCGCCGTGGTGTGGGGTCCACGCTCAGTCTGGGGCGGGGGCGGGCGGGGGAGAAAGGAAGGGTGAGAAGTGAAGACGAGCCCCTCCCAGAGGCCACCGCCTGCGCCCGTCGCCACCTCCGCCATTCACTGATACTCTCGCTCCTGCGGCCCTTTCTAGAATCGAGGCATCTACATGTTCCGAATCAACAATGAGCATGTGATTGATGCTACGTTGACTGGAGGCCCTGCCAGGTGAGAGAAGAATGGGGAAGGGGGGCTGGGGGGCCCCTGCAGGTGGCACTTTGGGCCAGTTGTGCACCAGAATCCTCCCAACTCGGTCACCTGGCATCCCTGACTGTCCCGCTGCCCAGGTACATTAACCACTCCTGTGCCCCGAATTGTGTGGCGGAAGTTGTGACATTTGACAAGGAGGATAAAATCATCATCATCTCCAGCCGGCGAATCCCCAAAGGAGAGGAGGTGAGAGGAAGCGTCTTGAGGGCCCCTCTGCTCTGCCGTTTCCCAGGAGCTGAGCCCCAAGGCCACTGCCTTGGAGCACCTCCACTGTCGCTGGAGGCTGCCATTGACTCTGCCCTCTTCCGTTTTCAGCTGACCTACGACTATCAGTTTGACTTTGAAGACGATCAGCACAAGATCCCCTGCCACTGTGGAGCCTGGAATTGTCGGAAATGGATGAACTAAGGCTCATTTGAGGCTACCAGGCAGGGGAACCCCCCTACCCCAACCTCTTCCCTGAAAGGGATGAGGGGGAAGAGAGGTAGCAGCCAGAGCCAGGACCCAGGGTTGGGGCTGCCGGCTGACCGGAGCCCCTGGAGCAGGAGGCTGGGGCAGAGGGTCCTAGGCCAAGCCCACCCTGGGCACCAGGGACAACCCTCTTCCCCGCTACCGGCCCCTAGGCTGGCATCTCTGCCCCCAGCTCCGGGAGGGGCCAGACAGAAGCAGCCATTGGGCATCTCAGGTTTGAGGGGGATACGGGCCGGGAACTACCCAGAAGCAACTGGGAGGCAGCAGGGAGAGGGGAGGAGGATGTGTGGCCGGGCCTCACAGCCCTGCTGCTCCCGCCGACCTCTCCGGCCCAACTCAAGGCTGCAAAGAGACTTGACTAAGCTTGACAATCCCAAAGGCCGGGACCCACACCCGGCCCTGCCTGCCGGGTCCTGCCCCCACCCTCACCCCCGTCCCCGTACCTCTCGATCTGTCTTTGTCTCCCTCTCTCCTCTGTGTTCTGTCTCTCTATGGGTTGTGTTTCCTTGTTTTCCACTCTGACAAATGCAACATGAACGGGAAAGAGGCACCCAGCTGCCCAGGCGGGCAAGCTTGGCAGGCCAGGCAAGGAGACCCCACACCCACACCTACCTCATTTAAATGTTGGATTTTTTGCTGTTTTGAAATGTGAGACCCTCTCTGAACCCCCTACTGCCCCAACCCTCTCCCCCACCTCACTGCCCTCTTCTGAGTGGGTGGAAGGGGGGGAAGGAGAGGAAGAAAAAAACAACAACAAAAAATCCATCTTTGTTTTTAATTATGGGCATGGGATAGTGGTTGAGGCTGATGATGATGCAGGTCGGGGATGACTGGCCCCTAGTCGCTCTAGGACTTCCTTCTCCAGCTGGCCATGGGGGCAGGAGGAGTGTGCTAAACCCAGGACCAGGATATCTCTTTCCTCTTTTCCCAACTCCATCATGAGCCCGTATGCCCTCCAACCCTTAGATGGGGTGGGTGGGTGGTAGGGTGAGGGCTATCCCTGAGTGGCATGCCCATACCCAATGAGGCAGGGTGTGTGGCCCGGAGCTCCCACTTTCCCTCAGTCACCAAACTGCTGCTGGTCTGGTGGGAAGGGGTGGTGATGTGGGGGTGGGGAGCTTAGTGTCAGCACGGGGAGGGTGGGGGGTATTTATCTATTTATACATGGGATTGTACATAGTCTTGTGGGGCATGGGGGAGCCGGCTGGAGGTGAGAACCCTCTCCTCTCCCCCCACCCCCGGGGAGAGCAAATGTAAAACTACTAATTTTTGTGCTTTATATATTCTATATAAATATATCTATTTTCTTTTTACAAAACCAGTTTATAAATGGTAGGGGGGCATGGGGCGGACACATGGAGCTCCCCTTGTGGGGGGGCCCCCTCCATTACCCAACCTACCGCCCTTTCCTCACCCCCTCCTCCCCACCCCTTGGCTGTGACTGCTGTATGGTGGGGGTATAGAGGCTGGGCAGTCCCCACCCCTGTTGTATAGTTGGACTATGTTATAACGCACAAAGGTGAGCTGGCCCCACGGAGCCAGAGGGTGATGGGTTCCTTGCCTCCCTTCCTTCCCCTTTCTGCCCAAGCTTGTGCTGCAGTTGAACCTCTTCCTGGGGGTAGGGGTAGGTCAGGGGGTGGGTGCAGCCCCAGACCCCTTTCTGATAGGGAGCCATGGGGGTGAAGATGAAGCTTATATGCAGTTCTTTCCTAGGGGCTGTGGGCAAAGGGCATTTTGTAATTAATGTTTTCAAGAATCAAATGTCTGGAGTGTAGTGGTGGGCTTGGTGACGGCGGATGGGCAGGCCTGCTGGAGGGGGAGCATGGTTGCTGTTGTGATTTTAGGTTTGTTTTGTTTTGTTTTTGAATTTGGGGGGTTGCGGATTGATGGGGATAGGGAATTTTTTTTTTTTAAGCTGCTTCCTCAACTGTTTCAAGCTGCAGATGTTTAAGAGAACATCCCCCCACCCCCACAGAAACCACTGTAATAAAATTTTACAGTGGGGTGACTGGGCTGCTGCCCCCAATCCATTGGATGTTCCTTTTCCAAGAGCAAAAGGTCTAGGTTACAGGGGAGGCGGGGAGATTGGCTCCTGTGAGTCAGGCTCTGGTTGGGGCTTGGGCCTTGGGGCTGGGAAAAGCGGATGGGGCAGACTTTGTAAGCATATGCTAGGTATCCGATAGTCCTGTAGAATTTAGTGGAGAAACCTTATACAGTTTTTAATTTTTATATAAACTAACTCAGACCCAAGCTACAAGGTTGGAATTTTGGTTGTTGGTTCTTTTTTTTTTTTTAAGTACCCCGCCTGTATAAATGCATCAGAATTCCCTCCTCCCCTCCCCCACCCCCGTGTTTGTATTTTGGGTTGGTTTACACTTACTTGCACATATTCAATTTTCAGTTTTTCCCCTTTACAGTCCTCTACTCCTCACCTCCAGGACCCTTCCCCCTTTTTAAAAAATAAATCGCTGACAAGTGTGAATCCCGTGAAGACTTTATTTTGTGTTGTGTGTATCCTGTACAGCAAGGTTGGTCCTTCGTAACAACGGATGAAATGATTACCTTTTTTAAAGCGCCCTCTCTCCCTCCACCCTCAGCGCCCCTGTCCTTGGCATGTTTTGTATCAGCGATCATTCTGAACTGTACATAATTTATGTTGCAAGAGGCAAAGGGCAAGTTTTGGATTTTGCTTCTTCCAAGTTTGTTTTTAAACAACAAATAAAAAGAGAACATTTTAAATACAAGCGACTCCGTCCCGTCACCCGCCTCCGGCCCCTTCGCCGCCGCCCGCCTTTCGCCGCCCGCACGTTGCGAGAGAAGCGGGAGGACCCGTCGGTTGGGGAGAGCAGCGAAGGGGGTGTGGCCCGGGCTGGGGGCGGGGCGCGGGCCGGACCTTCCGCCCTCGGTGTGCGACCGTCCCGGCGTAGGAGGAAGTGGCGTTGCGGCGCCGGACGTGGGGCGGGGCCTGTGCTCCGCCCCTACCCGCGCCGCGCAGCCTGCGAGCCGCCGAAAGCGGGCAAACTGGGCCAGGGCTTCTAGAATGGAGACGGTGAGGAGCGCGGGAGGGCGGCGGGGGGCGCTGTGGAGCCTGTGGCCCCCCGGCCCGCGTTAGGGGGCGGGGGGGCCGTGGCCGGGGCCGCCGCTGGTGCCCGGGAGGCGGGAAGCGCGAGCCGCGACCCTGCCCCTCCGCGCTCTCGCTGGGCGCCCCTCCTGGAACTGGGCCGCGCCGTGCCTGCCTGCCTGCCTCCGCGGCGCTCGGGCCGTGACTCTCCGCTCCCTCCTCGGAACCGGCGAGCTCCCGGCGGCCCCGGCCTCTTGCCTCTTAGCGCCGCAGGCCCCCCAGCGCTTTGCCCGGGAGTAGGCTTGTGACCCGGCATTCCTGGGCGAGGGTCCCCAAGGGAACCCCGCTGGCGGTGGCGCGTAGCCCCCTGAGGGTGAGCCCTGCAGTTCCAGGCGGAAGGAACAGTGGAAAGACCTTCCGCAGCAGCATCGAGGTGCCAGTGAGGTCACATTTCCCTTAATAAATAAAACAAGCGGGGCCTGCCTGAAGGTGGGGATCTTTCCGTTTTCGAGGCTGCTGTGACTCTGGACAAGTTTAGGTCATGCCCAGCTCTGCGATTCTAAGACGGAATGTTGGCATAGCTCATTCTTGGCAAGCAGGCATTGGCCGACCGTAGCTGGTCATCGCCCTCCCAGAGATGCTGCAGGTTGCCTGCTACATCCTCCCTCTTAGGGTCCTTTTTCTAATTAATACTCTGAAACCTTTCTCGTTCACTTCCTTCTCCAACAGTTCTTAACTGTGCACCCGCTGTCAGACAGAGTGACTCTGCCTGTCTTGGTTTTTAACATCTGCACCTGTAGGTGAAGGACCGTAGCTTCACCTCTCTTTGGATGGGCTACATGTCCAGAGAGACTCCTTTACCGTCCCCTTTCTCTGCCTGTAAAGAGTTCATCATGGCCCTGAGTTTATAAAGAAGAAAACAGGCCAAAATGTAAAGGGACTTGCAACTGATCACTCAGACAAGGGAATCAGTTCTCACAGGTTAAGAGAATGTTGAACAGGAATAGAAGGTGTGATTCCATTAAATTTAAAATAATATTTTTTTATTTACTTGTAAATATGTATGGTTTACCAAGAATTTTCAGAGATTCTCAAATTTAGCCCTCATTTTTGTGTGCTGCATTAGGTTCTTGGAATGGAAATTGTTTTAGAAAGGAGGGAAAACATGTGTTTTAAAAATGCTCAGCAGGACTGAAGTGGGAGTAGGGGCAAGCAAGTGATTGCTGTTATTTAAAGTAGACAATGAAGAATGCTGTCAGGATGCAAATAAAGGACTGAGAAACTTAGGGAAGGAAGGAAACCATGGCAGGTTAAAGAAGAGGATAGAGACTTGGGTAAGAAGAGTCTGAGTTAAATCAGTGGCTCCATAGCACTGAAGCTTTGGATTTTGGTCACGCTGAAGCTTTGGATTTTGGTCACAGTGGGAGAAAAGACTGGAAAAGTAGGCTGAGGGCAGGTTGACAGTATTACATACCATGCTAAGTTTGGACTTTGTTTTGTAATGAGGGGAGATTTATAAGGCAAGGCAGTGAGTAGCTTAACAGCTTCCTGTAAGTGAATGGAGCTACTTCAGAAAGTGGTGAGTTCCTGGTTGCTGGAGATGAAACCTGAACTGCTTGGTGTGACAACTTAGTGACCACATCAAAGATAAATTGAAGAGATGGCTTAGAGGAGAGAAACTGATTTAGAGAATGTTGCAGAAATGAGAGGTGAGACCCAAGTTTTTGCCTTAGTGGAAAGGAGAAGGATGAAGCTGAGATATCCCTGATGGATCAGATTAGCTGGTAGATGTTAGGAACAGGTTTAGGTGATGCCCTGCTCTGTAGTTTGAACCAGAAATGTTGGCACAGCTCATTCTTGGTTCCTGGGAAGACAGAAATGCCAAAACAACAAAGATGGGAAACTATGGAAGAATAAGAGGAGTGGAGGGACATACAGTATTTGTTTTGAGTTGAAGCATTTACAGAGTCTCTCTGACTCTGGTGTCGAACACTGAGAAATGTGGGTCAGGAGGCACAGCAGATCTCTCCTGTCTTGCGGGCTGTTTCTCTTAGCAGTATAAGTCTGCCTTTTCTGTTCTGAAAAAAGAACAGAAAGAAAGAAATGGATCAGGAGTTTGGAAGGAATTTTGAGTCTTATATGTTGCATCTAGTCTTGTCTCTAATAATATTTTATACTTATGTAACATAATGGAACTTTCTCCTATCTAGAAATAGAGAGGAGCAGTCATGATTATCCCACCCCAGTGTGGAGAAATGGGTAGAAAGACAGTCACATTTTCAGTTGTATCTGATTCTCTAATTTAGGTATCTCAAGCTGTACAACTCTTTCTTTTCTCTCTGTAGCGGAGTCTTAAGTGTCTCTGTTCATATTAGAGAACATTATTATCATTATCCATTAGAAAGAGAAAACTTGAGAAATATATCGAAAACTCCATGCTCAGTGTTATGGGTGAAACAAGGAAGTATAAGACAGTTCCAGGCTTCCAGGAATTTACAGTCTGTTTGGTTAGATAATGCACAGAATAACTGTAGCACAGCACAATATGTATCATCGGATAGCTATTGTTTCTGTGTCTTTGCATAGATGCTCGTGAGACACTCGTACTGAACAGCCCTGTCTCCCACTTGTAAGTGACTAGGCTGTTGTTCCCATAGCCTTGCCAGATTATGAGGCCCAGATGACAGTCTTATGCAACCTAGAGAGAAGAGGAAGATTATTCCTCCCTCTCCCTCCCTCCTATTTTCCCCTACGCACCTGCCATCCCCCATCCTAACCTGTTAAGGGAGGAAAATTTAGGATTGTCCTGCCGGCTTGACCTTGTTTACTAGCCACCATCCAAGGTTCAGGCTGAGGCCTTCAGCTTCTTGCTACAGAAGCTGTGGGGATGAAGATGACTTTAAGTTAGTTTTGGGATATTACCCAGAGCAAATGGGTCTCAAACTGTAAATTCCAGCGGGTGAAATTATGATCCCTCCAGGTTTTCTAAATAACAATGAAATTTCCAAATGTTCCCACTTGAGGGAGCACAGAGATGGTATTGAAGGTTTCTTTGTACTCAAGCACTTTCTAATCTCAGACTGTCATGGGTACGTAATCTTGGAAAACCAGTATCCTTTAGGCTTAGCAACCAACCAAGGACCTGAACAACCTATTTTATGTTCCACATCCACCCCTTAGTACTTCATGCTATGACTCTTTTCTGACAATCAGCTGCTGGAATCATACCCAATGGGACTCTCTCTCAATGTAAGGGGTATGTCTGATCCTAGAACCCGTGACTATGCTTAGCGAGTGGGGGAAAGCAGAATTGTTTCTCTGTCTTCTGGTTTTGTTTTTTGTTTGTTTGTTTTTTGTCTTCTGTATTTTTGTAAAGTAGATCTGTAAGAAATTTGTGGGGCTAGCCCTTAGCTTAGATTTCCAATCTCAGCTTATTTCAGTAGGCAATATAGTCTATAAGGACATGAGCTTTAGAATCACACAGATTTATATTCAGATCTCCCCTCCACCCCACCATCCATGGGCTCGTAGGTAAGTTGCCTAGTATTTGTGGAGTCTCAGTTTCCTGATCTGTAAAAATAAGGTTGATAATAATACTTATCTTAGGACTGTTAAGAAAATAAATTGGATAATATTTTTTTTATATAATAGTTTATTTTTACATCATTTTGTACATCTTTTTTTCCATCTCAATTGTAATCCCCGTGGGTTTCCCATCACCAAGTCACCCATGTGCCATCACCATAGTCTCGTGGCATAGATAATATTTTGAAAGGGATTTAAAATGCTTTAAAGAAAGATCTTAATTCAGGACTGCTATTGTTAGGCTAAAATGGATAAACTGAATCCTTGCTTTTCTTGTCTGTCCAGGTCATGTCTTCAGATAGCTCCCCAGCTTTAGAAAATGAGCATCCTCAAGGTAAGTTTACTTAAGAAAGGAAATGGGTATGAATTCAGCAGCCCAACCCTATCTTGTCTTCAGCAAAGCTTTTGAGTCTTTCCAGGGGTCTCCCCTGGGAAAAACCAAAGCCAAACCATACAAATCAGAAATAATAATTTGGCAAGATCACCCAGGAATAAGCTTGGGCAGGGGGGGGATGATTAATATTTTCACTTATCATTACCACTTGAGGGAAAACTTTCACAGGCAACTCTGGTCTGGCTAACCATATTTTGAAAATCCCTGGTTACTTTCTCAGTAACTCAGAAGCAGTGCTTCTAGGATTTTATCCTCCAGTGAGCCCACTGAAGTTTGTGTACTAGTTATACACAAAAAGTTATAGAAAGATCTTAAGAATCTTAAGGATAAATCAAGAAATAGAGGCATTAACCCTAAAATCTAGGGCACAGGAGAGGGCAATTCTAGCACCTGCTGAAATACTTGGTTAGGATGAAATAGTTCAACCTAAGACCATCTAGAAAGAACCAGAACTGACAGGCCCCTCTGCTTAAAAAAAAAAAAAAAAAATTCCAGGAACCTTCCTAGGCCTTTATAGGACACATTTATATCATTAGGACACTTCTCAGAAAATGTTAGGACATGGGATTAAGGGTCTGTGTGTTCTTCACAAGAATTTCTTTTTATAATATAATAGTTTTTACATCATTTCCTGCCTTTTTCCATCTCACTTGTAACCCCCATGGGCTTCCCATCACCAACTTCACAAGAATTTTTTAAATGTTCAGTTTTTATTTTGTCAGTATCCAAAAAAGTTAATGTCATCATGTTTTGAATTATCTGGATGATACTTCGTGATTAATATCAGTGCCTGTTTTACGTTTCTGAGTGCATATGCATTAGCACCCAGGCAGGGGTTAAAATGTAGATTTTCTACATTGATCCATCAGTGGCACGGACAGCGTATGCTGATGACATTCTGTAGCTCTCATGGCATCTGAAAGACAGCAGTTAGGCATATCTAATCAGTTGTTACTACTCAGGAATTTAAAATCTAGTTTCATTAGGTCTTCAGATATTTAAAGGAAACTTGGGAATTTAGATTTTTTTTTTAAAGATTTATTTATTCATACAGAACTGGGGTAGAGGCCAGACATGCAGAGGGTGAGAGGATTCACCAGGGACAGAGTGGGGAGCAGAACAGGTAGATCGACGAGGTACACTGCTGAGGGGAGCAGCGGGCGGGCCAGGAGAGGTCTGCCGCGCCATGTGGTCACCTCCAGGGCAGGCGGGGATGGAACTCATGCAGAAGGGGCTTTAGCTTCTTAGTGCAGTGCTTTAACCCACTGCGCCACCAGGTAGGACCAAGGGAATTTAGATTTTTTAAGATTTATTTATGCGGGCTCTCCCTGGTGGAGCATCGGGTTAAAGCACAGCACTGAGAATCTAAAGCCGCTTCCGCATGAGTTCGATTCCCGCCTACCCCGGAGGTGACCACATGGTGTGGCAGACCTCTCCTGACTCGCCCACTGCTCCCCTCAGCAGTGTACTTCGTCGGTCTGCCTGTTCTGCTCCCCACTCTGTCCATGGTGAATCCTCTCACCCTCCGTATTTCTGGCCTGTACCCCAGTTCTGTATGCATAAATAAATAAATCTTAAAAAAAAAAAAAGATTTATTTATGCATACAGAACTGGAATAAAGGCCAGAGGTGCAGAAGCAGTGAGAAGATTCACCATAGAGTGGGGAGCAGAACAAAGTACATTGCCAAGGGGAGCAGCTGGTGGACAGAAGTCTGCTGCACCATGTGGGTCACCTCTGGGGCAGAGATTGAACTCAAACTGAAATGGCTTCAGCTAGCTTACAGTGCTATGTTTTAACCTGCTGAGCCACCAGGGAAGGCTAGAATTTAAATTTTTATGTAAACTTCCAGATTTTAAACTTTAAATGATTCGGGGCCCTCCCTGGTGGCGCAGCAGGTTAAAGCACTGCACTGAGAGGCTAAAGCCACTTCCGCATGAGTTTGATTCCCACCTGCCCCGGAAGTGACCACATGGCATGGCAGACCTCTCCTGACCCGCCCGCTGCTCCCCTCAACAGTGTACTTCGTCCATCTGCCTGTTCTGCTCCCCACTCAGTCTCTGGTGAAGCCTCTCACCGCCCCTGAGCCTCTGGCCTGTACCCCAGTTCTGTATGTACAAATAAATAAATCTTAAAAAAAAAAGTTTAAATGATTCGAATTATTTTTAAAGTACTGGGAAAGCCAATTCTAATATATATATAGGACAAAATACATAAACATATAGGACTATATCTATAGTCCTACTTAGAGGCCTGAAATAATAGTTTTAACTATTAATGTAGCATGACTTCAATTGAAATCAAAAAACAAGTTCTTAGGAGTCTGTGAGTTTACATTGTTTGAAAACCAATGCTAGGTTTCCAGGTAAAGTTGATGTACTGAATACACATCTACTTTCATTCCTTCACCAAAAAACCACTAAAACTACCATAAAGAATTTAAAAAGTTACAAACCCACCAGAATAGAGAGAATGAGAAGAGATGATAGCAGTGGAGTTTTGGAAGCTGGAAAGCAGACAGAGGAGTGGTAAATGACCCAGCAGACCTGAAAAGAATAAACTTTATGCTGGCAGGAGGGAAAGCCAAGAAGCATTGATGGCCTGAAAAGCAGTCAGGTCTCAAGACTCCTTATTTCACTGAGTGCAGCTGGGCAACTCTGCCTCCCAACTTTGGCAAGAATGGAGATCTTGGAAAGGCCTTAGAACTGTTTGAGGGCTGAGGTATGTACTAGAAACGGTAGTAAGAAGCAAACTGAACTGGATGCTGAGATCCCATTTCCTCCCCATTCAGTTTCCAGAATTGTGACAGGCAAGACTTTAACCTTCCAGAGCAAAACTGAATTTTCTGCAGAATGCCCTGGAGGGGAAAGCCTGTATACTGCTGTCCCATTCTAAATGACAGGCAACAAGGTTTATTCACATACTCAGAGGTTCTGATCAGCTTTAAAGATTCCATTCTTAAATATGTTTTGAATCACCTTTAAATCATGGATTACCAGACATTTAAAGAAAATCTCTAATATGAAAAAAAGTGATCTAAACTGTATTGCCACATGCACATACAAAAAGAAACAGAATAAAAAAGCACTGGAGAGGAAAAGCTAATGCATAAAGAACAAATTTTTAAAGTTAACATTTTATACTCGGAAGAACATATTTTCACCATGAAACAAGTATAGGATACAATTTTTAAAAAGGGAATTTTAGAAAAAAAGCAAAAAGGAGCTCTTAGAATTGAAAGTACAAAGAGTAAATAGTTTAAAATAAGTAGAGAAAGTCTCCCAGAAAATAGAATTAAAAATCAAAGAAATGGAAAGTAGGACCAAAAAGACATTTTTAAAACAAAAACAAAGGAGCAGCCAAGGAAGTCCAGTATCAAAATAATAGGAGTTACAGCTAGAGATAAGTGACAACACAGAGGGGAAGGAATAATGAAGGAAACAATTCAAGAACATTTCCTGAGAGATATTACTTTCCCTTGTGAAAGGACTTGTGACTATTTTGCACAGTGGATGAAACTGACACTATCATCATATTTCAGAACATTGGAAACAGATGATGCTGTGTTCCCAGAGAAAATAACCAAGGATCAGAATTGCCTCAGATCCTCAGTCACACCCAAGCTAAATGACAATAGAGCAATATCTTTAATATTCTGCAGGAAAATAAATAGTAACCTAGAATTTTAGAGCTAGCCAAATTATAAATCAAGGATAAAGGTAAAATAAAAGTACCTGCAGACCCAAGTTCTCAAAAAATTTTCCTTTCATGCACTGTTTCTTAGGAATCTGCTAGAAGCTTTTTTGCTCCAGCAAAACATGGGGGTTGGCCAAAAAAAATGAAAACATGGGCTATGGAACACAGGAATGTCAGTACTGGAGATATGAATGGACTTCCTGGGTAGTGACCAAAGAAAGCTGTCAGGAGGACAACAGTGCTCACAGGCAGGCCAGCCCAGATTTGAGCAGGTCAGAGGCTCCAGAGGAGACTCCTTTGGTAGTCTAAATTGGTAAGTTAATGCACCTGAACATCTTAAAAGGAGATTTGAACAGTTAAGAGTTTGGGGGTTGAATTAATTATACATATCAATGCATATAAAATTAAGCAAATAAAAAGATAAGACTTCTCTAGGAAAAAGTTTTGGAAGAAAGAAAAAATAAGAGTTTATTGTTTGGCTTAGCTTTGAATAATGAATATTTAGTCAAAGTTACTTAAATAAAGATGTGACCAACATTATAGTTGAACTTCTAGAAGAGTGGGTAGAGGCAATGGGAGGGTCATGTTTGTGGAGTACTGGTAGGAAAGAGCATTAAAAACTGTCAGTTTTCTTATATGGTAATAGATAATGCCCAAAGTGAAAAAAATAAAAGAGCAGCAATATAAACGTGTTTATTTATAGATTTAAAAATAAGTACCAAAATAATTAGTTAAAAGGGACTTATCTCTGGTTAGGGGTAGTACAAGGAGGTAGGTGTCAGGGATTTTAGTTTTTTAAAACAATATTTGTAGAACTGTTTGACTTTTTAAACTGTGTAACTAACCTTGGTTATACTTTGGTAAATAAAAAACTAAAACAACTGATTAAAGAGCAGGAACTTCAGAATCAAATAGATCTGTGAGTCTGTTGTCATATTGATGGTAGTGGCCTTGAGCAGTTTATTTATAACTGCTTTCCACCTGTTTTCATGAAAAAATGTGGATAGTATTTACCATGCAGATTTGTTGTAAGGATTAAATCTTGTGATTTTTTTCAGTACACATAGTATGTACTACATTCAGGCTATTAATTGGGGAAGGGGGCTACTTTTCCAGTTTAGAGCAAGCAGTTAAAATCAGGAATGAAGAGGTAACACAGCCATAGTCTTCCATTTGTCTGGAGTATGTAGAATGCAGGCCTCCCTGGTGGCCCAGGGGTTAAACCTCAGTGCTGTGAATCACCCCTTTGCCCTGAGTTTGATCCTCAGCCAGGGAGCTAACCCACATAGGTGCAGCAGATCTTTCCTGTCGCCTGCTGCTCCCTACTCTGTCTCTGGCGACAGAGACAACATCCCCCACCTCTGGCCTTCACCCCAGTTCTTCTATGCAAAAATAAATGTTAAACAAATTTTTTTTAAAAAGCTTCCTTAAAAAAAAATAGAGTATGTGGAATGATATCTGATTCACGAGGCCATCCCAAGATGGACTCTCAGGGTCATCAGGGCCAGGTTTATTAGCGCTAGGCCCCAACCTAGTCATCTTGGACTATAACTCAGATCTTTGGGTCTCAGAATTTAAGAAACAACTACATCTTAGTTGGAAAAAGAGAACAAGTGAAAATATACTGGATTGTATGAAAAGAAAAACTTGAACGAGAGATGAGAATATACGTAAGACTAGAACAGGATGAAGAGGAAATTACAGGTTTTGCCTTAACGCCATCTTTGGCCTATAGAGCCAGTAGATACAGTCCAACCTGGAAACCAGGGTGGATGAAATGGCTTCGAAGCAGGTTATCCAGATTCGGCTGGGACAAAAATAAAACAGCATAGGGGGCCCTATTCTTAAATGTTTGCTCTTAACTATTTGAGCAGCTCTACAGCACTTTTATTTTGTGTTCTTGTGGTTGTGAGTAGTTACATGGAAGGATGCTACTAACTATCTCACCCTATGCAGAGACCCCAGAATCCAACAACAGCGTGTATACGTCCTTCATGAAATCTCATCGCTGCTACGACCTGATACCCACAAGTTCCAAATTGGTTGTATTTGATACTTCCCTGCAGGTAGGTGAACTCTTCCTCTCCCTTCTCCCTTCCTGAGAGCCTGCGGCTCAAATCTCTCATCCTATTGTCTTTCCCTAGCACACCCAGTCCTGACCTTTTCAAGTCCTCCCAACTGTGCATTTATTACTCTTTTGGCTATAGGTGAAGAAGGCTTTCTTTGCTCTAGTTACTAATGGTGTACGAGCTGCCCCTTTGTGGGATAGTAAGAAGCAAAGTTTTGTGGGTAAGCAAAAGTTTTGGAACATAATATTATTAGCGTCGCGTGCTGGTTAGGGAGAGAAGCTTTGAGCAGTGCTGAAGACTCTCTGTCTTGGCCTCCAGGCATGCTGACCATCACTGATTTCATCAATATCCTGCACCGCTACTATAAGTCAGCCTTGGTAAGGAATCTTAGCCCAGCGACCAAAAGCACCGCCTCGGTCCAAAGTTGCTCATTCTCTTCCTTTCCCTTGAGCAAGCCACACGGGGAGGGAAGGGGGCGGTTCACGGAGCAGGAATAGCAGGGCTTAAATTTTGTTGCTTCTGCTTCCAGGTACAGATCTATGAGTTGGAAGAACACAAGATAGAAACTTGGAGAGGTGCGCTGAGAATTAGGGGCTGTGAATGGAAAAAGAGATGGAGTATTCCTGGGGAACTATTTTCAGCAGTGGTCGTTCATGAGCCTCTCTTTTCTTTTCAGAGGTGTATCTGCAGGACTCCTTTAAACCACTTGTCTGCATTTCTCCTAATGCCAGGTGAGTTCTAGCTACTCATTTTTCTAGAAGGGAAAGCGCCTATGAGCATAACTACAGCTATAGACACCAAAAGATCAGGGGTAGAAGAGTAAATTCTCTTCTCAAACGCTCTCTCACTCTCACTGTTTAGTTCACTTCTGACATCTGCCCCCTTCGTTCAACCTTCAGTTTTCCCTGTTTCTGAACATAATCTAGAGAGCTATTTAACCGTCCTTAGCCCCAGCACTATGGAACTTACTGCCCCCACCTTCCCACAGCTTATTTGATGCTGTCTCTTCGTTAATTCGAAACAAGATCCACAGGCTGCCAGTTATTGACCCGGAATCAGGCAACACCTTGTATATCCTCACCCATAAGCGCATTCTCAAGTTCCTCAAATTGTTTGTAAGTGCCCCTTGGCCAGCTTTTACTTCTTTTATCCTGGGTTAGAGGGGTATTCAAGAGTGATTTGGGGGAGCCTTAAAAATAAAGCTGATGGCTCTTTCCTTAGATCACTGAGTTCCCCAAGCCAGAATTCATGTCTCAGTCTCTGCAAGAGCTACAGATTGGCACCTATGCCAATATTGCTATGGTCCGCACGACCACCCCAGTCTACGTGGCTTTGGGCATCTTTGTACAGCACCGGGTCTCAGCCCTACCAGTGGTAGATGAGAAAGGTGAGATACTGGGCAGGAGAGGGAAGTCTCCAAGGAGATTCAGAGGGTCTCTGGGGAAATCTATCCCCTCAATCTGGAGGGTGAGCCTATGGACTGGGGAGCCTTGGATGCCAGATCCTCCTTGCTGAACTACCTCTGTCCCCCTAGGGCGTGTGGTGGACATCTACTCCAAGTTTGATGTTATCGTGAGTGATTGTGAAGGGGCTGGGAGGTAGGGAAAGGGCTGGGGTTGGATGTGGAGAGGGAAGAGTGTCTTGGTGGACCTGAGGGTTTTAGAAGCTTCCAAGCTTTCAAGTCCTTTTTGAAAAGGAATTGAATGAGTTGCTTGTGGCTTGTGAGCTTGGCTAATAACTGCCCTGAATGCCTCTGGTGAAGTTGTGTGGGGGCCGGCTTCCTGCATCCCTGCAAGCATCTGTCTCTCCCTCCCCAGAATCTGGCTGCAGAAAAGACCTACAACAACCTAGATGTCTCTGTGACCAAAGCCCTGCAACACCGATCACATTACTTTGAGGGTGTCCTCAAGTGCTACCTGCATGAGACGCTGGAGACCATCATCAACAGGCTAGTGGAAGCAGAGGTACGGGGTCTAGTCACCCAAAACAAGCTGGGGGGAGCAGCCTTAAGTATGGGGTTCGGTGAGGAGGCAAGGAGCCACTAAGGTTTGCACTAAACATTATCTTCCTCCCTTGTTGATCTGTGCCAGGTACACCGACTTGTAGTGGTGGATGAGAATGATGTGGTCAAGGGGATTGTGTCACTGTCTGATATCCTACAGGCCCTGGTGCTCACGGGAGGCGAGAAGAAGCCCTGAGCCGGGGAAGGGCCAGGTAGCACCTGCCCAAAGCTCTGGAACCACAGATGAAACCTTGAGAGAGTTGTGACTGTTCTCTGCGCGGGAGCCACCTGTCCTATCTGGGAGCCGGGGAAAGAGTGGGGAGGAAGGAGAATGTGTTTGCAGCTGTCCTTAACCCCCACACACCGTGAAAAAACCGCCGCAGTCTAGGCCATTCTAGCCCCTGTCCTCATAGACATCACCCCCTTTCTGGGTAAATGATGGGCTCTTCCCCCCTCAGGCAAATCTGATCTCTAAGAGATCCCCAAACCTCACCCCGCCTTACCTCTGTCTGTGCCCTTGACTGTGCCCTAAGATAATACAGCACAACAAACGACTCTAAAAGATATTTTTATTTGTTCTGTCATGCTGTATGGAGGAGGCCGAGTCCACTTAGTGACATTTCTTCCCATAATGGGAAGTGGGGAGGATGTCGGGAGGAGGACCTTTGGGTTCCGGTGCTGCAGGCATTTGAAGGGGTGTTTGGCTTAGGTGGAGGAGGGCAGCGTGGCTAGCTGAGGTTAGTGCTTTTTATGGTAAACCTAATTAAAGTGACCGGAACCTCTTCATGGTATTGCAATGTTTGGTTTTTGTAGTTGAGAGACACTACCGCTCTAACCTTTCCTGCTTCATAGGGCTTCTTCAACTCAACATTCATAGCAACACTTGTCTAGAATAGGACACGATCTATGCACACCTGAAGCCATGGGCACCATTCTGTGTTTTATGTATATTCACTTAGTATTAATTAAATACTGATTGCTAATTTAATGATGATTAATGTTGAATTCATTTAATCTTCAGAACAAGAGTAGATATTCCAGTTTTTGTTTTCCTTAAAGATTTCTTTTTTTACGCATGTGAGAACTAGGTTACAGGCCAGAGGTGTGGGGAATGAGAGGACCCACCAGAGACAGAGTGGGGAGCAGAACAGGCAGATGGAGTGATACACTGCCGAGGGGAGCAGCGGGCGGGTCAGGAGAGGTCTGCCGCGCCATGTGGTCAGCTCCCTGGTCAGAAATGGAACTCCTTCTGCAGTGGCTACAAATAGCTTCATAGTGTTGTGCTTTAACCCTCTGCACCACCAGGGAAGCCCAGGTACCCCAGTTTTATAGGGTTATTTACAAGTTGAGGCACAGAGACTAATGTAAAGGAGAGCTTGGATTGACCCCAAATAGGCTGGCTGCACAGCTCATGCTCCCTCGTCGCCCCAGAATTGCTGCCTTTCTAATTCCCTGTTCATGAGTGTTTCTTACTCTATTCCCTGCAATTCTCACTAGCTCACTTTCCCCTCTGCCTGACCGCAGCTGGAGCTCAAGAGAATGCCACAGAGTATTAGTTCTCTGGAGAGTAGACAGACGGAGGATCTCCTGTAGGCAGGCGACCTGCCGCCATCGCCTCTTTGTAGAAAAGATTGGACTGTTACTGAGCTGGGTCGGCCCTCAGACCTTACCCTGTGCTGACCCTGTGACTCAAGACAGGATCTGGCACCAAACACCACAGGACTGCCAGGCTGTTGGGCATAAGCCGAATTCTGGTACCATCTCACCAGTGCTTCGTAGGGTGGCACCATGTCTACCTGAGACGGGAAGCCGTTTCAGAGTGACTTCTTGCCCCAGCCTGCGCAGTGCCAAGGGCCCCGGCATCTAGCCACACCATACCCAGGCGTCCAAACCAGGCTTCCTGGTGGCCTCCGGAAACACTAAGGCACTCATCAGAGTTCAGCTTTCCGTACTGCTGCTTGGCTTTAAAGAAGCCCCCACTTGTGTGTGCACCTCTTCAGAGCTCTCTCAGCACATTCCCAGACTTGAGGGAGGAGGTTTCCAAGTTATTGGAGCATGTTTGTGTATGTGGGGGTGAGTGCACGGCGGAAAGGACAGATGTCTCCTTATGTCACATTCCATCCTGAAGGTGGGTTTGTATAGGGAGAAGGCAGGACTTTAAAAAGCCTTAGGGCTCTGCTGAGACCTGGGGCGGAAAGAAGGACTTCAGGAGACCTCAGTGCAGCGGGTAGGTGGACAGCGGTGGGAGGTGAGCGGATGGGTAGGGAATGTCTGCGCTCTGGCTGACGGTCATGTGTTAGGGGGCAGAGGGCCTGGGTTTTGTTGCTTTGGTTGTTAGTATGTCAGTTTCTACCCCACAACAACCCTCCTCGCCCCATGCCTGTACCAAAGCATAGCATGTACTTCATTAGACCAAATTGCGATTTCTTGCTTTCCCATCCCCCAACCAGAAAGATAAGGGGCAGGATTTAGGACCCTCGTAGCCTTGTGTTCTTACATATTCCACTCAGGGGCGAATTATCCCTTCTTCCTCCAGAACCATCACCATACACTCTTCCCCCATCTCACACACACACACACACACACACACACACACACCCCCCGCCCCTCCACTGGAGCGGCTGCCATGGTTGCCAGGCATGGTTGCTAAGTCTCTGCTTGGAAGGGTTGGCGTGGGCTGTGCTGCCACTAACATTACCATGGTGAATCAGGGGACACCTGGTATAGGCTTAGGAAGAGAGAATTATGTGGATGTAAGCAACACCCCCCAGGACAGAACACTCCTAGTCTGAAAGGTGAGCATCTTGAGCACCACTGCTTTAGTTGTTAGTATGTCAGTCTCTACCCCACAGCAACCCTGGGGTGTTGAGTGACCCAGGCCTTGGTATACGGTGGAGAGCTCTACAGACAAATGGGGACTGCTTACTAGTTCAGTTGCTAGGGAATTGATTTTGGCAAAGAAACCCCACTCCTCCTCACCTCAGGAAGGTTGCAAGCACGTAAGCACGGTCTGTGCTCTAAAAGGCTGAGCAGAACTGTGGGCACACAAAAGCCAAATCCTGGCTTCTGGGTTGGGGAAGCAAACCTGCTGCTAGGAGAGCAGTCCATACTTACCCAAGGACAAAAACCTAGAATGGCAGTTGGTGGGGCAGCTTCTGTGGTCAAGACAGGGTGTGAGGGTCACTCTTTTTGAGCTTGGAGGAGGTAGCTTTCCCCTAGAGTCACACAAAAGCAGAGAAAGCCACCGCCTCCTCCCTCCCTACATGGAAGCTGGTTACTCATCTCTCTGCACCCGAACTGCCTTGCCGCTAAAAATAGCCCCCCTGCCTGGACCAGCCCCTCCTGCACCCCAACCCCATGGAAACCAGCAGAGTGGCAGGCAGAGACCTTGAGTTCCATTCCCATCACCTCTTTATCAGAGAAACTGAAGTCCGAGGCAGGAAGTCTGGGGCAGAACCCTGGTGGTAAGGCACCCTGACAAGCAGGAGCGTAAAGGGTTAAACTGCAAGAAGGCTGAAGAAAGTGGGGGTGGCGGTGGGGGCACTGTCAGTTTGTTAAGAATAATAAGTCCTGCACTTCCCATCAGCTGGGGGGAAAAGCACTGTGGGAAGGGGCGCCTAGTTGGGGGGGGAGGCTTGTCCATGGGGGAGGGAGCAACGCGGAGCCATCCCGCTCCGTGTCACATGCGCACGCACACACACACACACAGGCACACACGTGTGCCTGGGTATATATAGTCCCCAGTTACTGGG